TTGATGAGAGATGCAATTCTCGCTTGTGTTTCACTGTCAACTCTCATCTGCTCTCATCAGCTTAGAGTTTGTTCAAATTTTGATGAGAGTTTTTGCTCGTTTACAGTAACTGGTAATATCCAATTAACAGAACTCTTGTTCTCTTTTGGCCAGGACATGAGAGTTGAGAAAACTGTCATGCAAATTCTCACTTCCCGACTCTCATGAACTCTCACTCTTTAGGTATTTGATCAATATTTAAATTTTATCTCACTGGAAGAAAATATGTTTACGACAAGATATCAAGAACGAGATTCAATATCATATTATGGTAAGAAAATTATCAGATGAACCATCTTTTTCTTGCCAAAGTAAATTAGTTGGACATGCAGATAAATCATCTCTCTGTAGCATAAATCTGACCATTTTCAAGCATTCTTTGTGTTTAATTTGTTTAGCGTTAAACAGACCCGATGCTAAAGACACAGACATTGAAAATATTCGTGATACAGTGGTGGATAGTCTGTTCTCATTTTTAGTGACGCTAGGTATGACGTTTTACCTTAATACCTTAAGCAATTCACAAAACAAAATTAGTTGTGATACAGTATGTCGTAACTATTGCTGGAATGATAGGAAACTGTACTGTATTTGCACCAGTGTAGAAGAAGTTTTAGGTTGTGGAAATACCATGTACCGTACATTTATTATAGCAAAGATTAATCTATTTTGCACATCTTTGAGACGTTGTACTGTATAAGATGTATGCAACGTCTTTGACAATCATATATTCAGTTAATATATGATTTCCAAATGAAATTGTCAGGTACTGTTCCAGTCATTCGCTGTCCACGTGGGAATGCTGCTGAAATAGTGTCGGAGGTACTGTTTAGTAAAGAAAACTTTTTTGTATTTTATTTTGTGAAATTTCCACTAATTGAAATAGTTCTACATTTAGGCGTTAGACAAGAAACTACGAGAAAATCTCCGTGACGCTAGGAACAGTTTATTCGCAGGCGATATGAGCACAGGGCAATTTAGGTAAACAAAGCAACAAAACTTTTCAACTGCAATGATTTAAATAAAACGTGTTCCAAGGCATTAAAGAATGGGCATTTTTTTAGTTTCCAGCGACCTGTGTTAATAATATTGGATAGAAATATTGACCTTTGTACACCATTACATCATACGTGGACGTATCAGGCGTTGTGTCATGACGTTTTGGTAAGAGCTTGTTATGCATTACTCCGATAAACACACGTAAAAACGACCAACCTGTTCCCGGTTCATATCGACAGGCTTGAACAAGATTGTGCTGCACCCTCAGAACAAGTTGTTAACAATGTTGTTACAGTATTGCTCAGTTGTAACAATGCTGTAACAACATTGTTGACAATTTGTTCTTACTAGGCTGCAGCACAACCTTGTTCAAGCCTGTCGATTTCAACCGGGAACTGGTTATTCGTTTTTATCCGTGTATAATGCGTCCATCGCACCTCAAGAACCAAGACTCAATTCCTGAAATATTCAGTTGCCTGATTATAATTTCACCTCAGTTGCATGTGAAAAGAATGGTTTCAGTTTGACTCTACCAAACACTGCAAGTTTCTCAATGTATTCCAGTTTCCTCCTGTGGTAACACTGAACCAAAAGGTTATGGCCGATGGAGCACAGATTAGATTTAGACAATCGTAAGGAAAATAATTGTGGTTGAATCTCCGGTTGATTTTGTTATTGTCAATGCTTCCTTTCTTCTCAAGGATCTTCATTTAAATCGTGTTGTGATAAAAGAAAGTGCACCAGACAATGAAACGACAGAGCATGGTCATTCGCGACCAAGACCAACCAAGACTAAATCATATGACATCAGTGCCACTGATAACTTCTGGAATAATCACAGAGGAAGGTGAGTGGGATTCACTGTATATTTGTCAGTAACAAACAGAAATACAAGAAAATTTAACTACTACACGCGTACCCAGGCTCTCTCCTCCACCGTAGACGGGGTTGGGACATATGATGAAAAGAATGAACAGTATTCCCTCATTCTTCATTCTGCTAACTGTCAGATCGATACATTTGAGAGTTCAGACTTCACTTCCACAACCATCACCGCTTACCATTAAGGGACCATTAACCAATGCGTACTAAGCTAGTAAGTGGTTGCGGTAATCAAAATTTGAAATTATGCATTGAGACGAGAAACTGAAGCCCTATGCTAACGCGGGAATTTGTTTCCTGTAGTCCGTTTCCAAACGTTGCTGAATCGATCCAGAAAGAGCTGGATGAGTACAAAGCATCTGAAGGAGAAGTGAAACGGTTAAAAAATATCATGGTAATGTCATGTTTTATCTCCGAAACTTGTCTATAATTGTCCAAAAATTAATAAACTATATTGTTATAAAAGGGTTTAGATGACAGCGATGAAGGAGCCATCACGGATTTAATGAGCGCGGATCATACGTCTAAACTCACGTCAGCTGTAAGGTATAAATATCACTCCTTTTTGTCAAAAGAGTGAAATGTTTTTTAATCGCAAAATCTAACCCTTCATTGTCCACTTCTGCAGCTCATTACCAGAATTACTGGAGAAAAAGAGATTAATTGACCAACATACAAATATTGCTACAGCATTACTGGATCAAATTAAGGTAAATATTTAACATTTAATACGCCTATTAGTATGCAGTCTCTGACTGCCCTCTAGTTTAAAATAGAATTATTTTGTTCTCGTAATCGCGAGCAGTTGTGCTCTTTTTTATTGCCTTACAGCAACGCCATCTTGATACATATTTTGAATCGGAGGAAAAAATAATGAGTAATCAAAGATTGGTAAGATTTTCTAGAAATGTTCAATCTAAATTCTCGTTTCATTGTGTGCTCTGCATTGTGTGTGTGGTGAGAAGCGAATAGCTATAATTTGAGACGGAAACAAACAGTTTTATTACCAAAACAAAAACAGTTTTATTACCAAAGCCAAAAACTGAAAATTTGATCAAGCTGCTGTGTTATGGAATTCTTTGGAAAACAACCGAAGAGCTATACTGAAATATAGCCACTTTTAAAAGTGAAATACAGAGGAAATATTGAGACGAGTTAGGAACAAAATAGGTTAATTAATTAATATTTTATATTTTGGATTTTGTAATATATACTAACTATCGGATAATAATTTAACTGCACGACCACATCAGCAAAGAAGCCCACCAAGGGGTTATGACCGACAGGCGACATTCCTTAAAAAGAGGCGACAGACTATCTAAAAAAGAGCGACAAACGACAACTTCTGACTGGGAAAAAGCGACAAATTGTGATTTGTGTTAAGAGTCAAAAGTGACAGCGACATTTATTACAATAAAACAAGCAACAAAGCAGCTACAAAACGAATGACAAGCGACCTGGGTTACACCCTTGGTGGGCCTCAGCAAATGCTGTAAATTTTATCGTGTTTAAATAAATGCTTTGATTGATTGATTGATTGATTGATTGATTGATTGATTGATTGATTGACTAAATACTAGATAAATTTATTTTCTGCAGGATAAATCTGTTTTAGAATTTATACAAGATCCGGAGGGTACGTGTTGTTATAGACTGTATATAGTCAGTATTCGTAGACTCTACTTAACGGTAGACGTATACGAGGGAATACGAGGGTCCTCTTGCGCAGTGAACTCCGTATATATCTAGAGTGAGAACTCGCTCCAAAGCTTGAAACCAAAGATGGCGGAAATTGACGTCCAGTGCCAGTCCCTATTGTTTTTGTCTGCGCGGTTAGCACAAGGCTGCAACAAGTGCACCAAAATTTTGTGTGTTGACTTTGATTTAAACAATAATATACTATGGTTTTATGAACTGATAACTTGATTAGTGATACGATCTGTTAGAAAAAAACTGGAAATAACTGTTTACGATCTTCATAGATTTTGAACGTCAACTCCGCCATCTTGGCCGAATGACTCAAGTTCTTAATCCAGATATATATACTTATTATAGCTTAAGATTTTGGTTTACGAAACACAAACAGTGCTCAATACCATATAGATAGAGCGTAATATAGTTTTTCGTTTTACCTCAAAAAACCTGAAACAGACTGTTGTGGTTTTTTGAGGTAAAACGAAAAACTATATACTTATTATATGGATAGTGGTGTTTTACTGGAAACTAAAACACTGGTAGAACTCATACGTCACTACATCCGGGACCAGGTGCGCGTATTTTCCGTATTTCACCCCTGCTAGTGACCATCTATGTTAGTGACATACGAAGTTCGAAAATTTCCCGCCATTTTCATTGTTGTTGTTTTGAAAACACAAATGGTCTTTGGTTCGTATTTAAAACGAAATTAACGTTGGAAATGAAACGAAAACATTTAAAAGACATCTTGAGATAAGTAAAATTTATTCTAGTTTTATGTTTGCACTATAATTACTAAAAATATCGCTTCTACACTGGTCTTTCGCGTGCTTATTTACATGTTGCCTTTGTGTGTATTTTTGTCACCCTGAATAAGTCCATATAATAAACAGAACATTAAACGGTTGCGAGAAGATATGGATTTATGTTCTCGTGTCAAAAACAATATCTCACTCGTGAGATATTGTTTTTGCCACTCGAACATAAAATTCATATCTCTTCGCAACCGTCTAATATCCTATATATATATATATATATATATATATATATATATATATATATATATATATATATATATATATATATATATATATATATATATATATATATATATATATATATATATATGTTTTCATTGTTCGTAAATTGCAATTCAGGCTCACGCTTTGGGCTTTAGCTGACGTCAGATGCACAAAGGCGAGGCTCCTATAGCCAAATTGACTTACTTTCCGGAAGGGTATATTCTATAATGTCAGCCAACATGTTTGAAATGTCATTGTTCTTTTAAATGCTCAGTTAGTTGCAAAACATTTTATTTCTTTCAGCTGGCACTCCGGAAGATAAACTAAGATTATTTATAATATTTTATATTTCTGGACCAACTATGTCCGCTGTAAGTATGTTAGATTGTTCTTTGGTCCTGTTGAACTTGTGCAGTATGTACCGCCGGCTATCACGTGACTGTAATATTACCATTAATGATACTTTTATTACGTTTAGGCTGAATTTGACCAATATTCCTCGGCACTACAAGACGCTGGAGCTGACCTCAGTGCATTGAATTATATCAAGAAATGGAAGTAAGAACAATTTGGAATTTTTAAGAAAACTTATTAAAGTCCTTCTTAACAAAGCAAATAATGAATTTACTTAAAATAATTTTTCTAGAGCGTTCACCAAAATGACCACAGGACCTGTTCAGTCGGGGGGTGGAGGACAAAATACATATAGGTAATTCTCCATTTCTTTTTGTTTTTCACATTTTATTTTTCGAAATCCATAAATCTTTTTTGATATTGTCAACTGAACGACAAAACTCGAAGCTTTCAATTTTGCTTTCTAGTGCTATGTTTTCCAAAATTATTGGCACTAGTTCTCAATTTGTTATGGAAGGTGTCAAGAACTTAGTCGTTGGAAATAAGGTATTCATTTGAGTAATATTATAACCATTGCCCGGAAAGTGTCTATTTTTTCACCTACTGTATTTTTGAAGAAATTATGTTTTACATTATATTATTTCATTTTAGAATCTGCCTGTAACGAGAATTGTTGATTCCATTATGGAAATCAAATCAACAGCGGTAAGTTTTGTTTTTGGTAATTTACAGTTTACCTACCCTTTATTTTGATTCACGAAGCCATTGGGTTCATTAATGGGAACAAATTCTTGTTACTGTTAGCCTGAATAAAACAACGTTAGGATATTTCCGGCGAAGGCTTGATCAGACAGCTAAATAGATAACCCAATAACCCATGAAATCTTGTTTTTCAGGATGTAGACGATTACAGACACTTCGATCCAAAAATGCTCAGAACCACTGACAGGTTTGTTTTAACATTTATCTTTTTTTGCTTGATTACTGTTTGCCATGATTTTTTTTGTAATAATTTTTACTTCTTTTCAGTTCCTCCATCCCTCGAAATAAGACGCCATTTCAAGAGGTGTGAACGTTTTCCGTTATATCATTATTTTCTTAAGTCTATGTCAAGGTGGTCGATGTAATAATGTGTGAATAGATCTCTACAATCAGTTAACAGACTGATTTGCAGACATCGTACAAAATACAAGATAGATCCAGTAGTTTTTAATTTGAGACGGATTACAGTGTTTAACTTTTAGTCCATTACTTGAAATATCTTAACTTTCTTTTCTGCCGTTATTTTAGGCCATAGTTTTTGTCGTTGGCGGAGGAAATTACATCGAATACCAGAATTTGGTTGACTATGCTATGGTAGGTTTGAAAACCATAACGTTTACTGTGTTTTAATTATTTTAAAATGTACAATAATGTTTATTATTTCACACATACGTATATTTGCTTGCGAAGTTTTGTTGCCAGTACGAGAGACAACGAAGAACCAGGAAAGCCAAAATCAGCCAATCAGGTTCATGCATTTCTTAAGGCGGGAAATTTTAGAAAGGAAAATGTTATTTTTGTTTTGTTGAAATTTCGTTGGAGTTTTATTAATTGTTAGAACAAGTAGCATTAATAAGTAAGGTTGGGATAACCAAAACATAAAGTCTAACATTCTTCTTTTAATAAAACATAACGTAGACAACGAATTTTTATTTGTTTTGTTTTTATTATAGCGCAATCCTTCGAATCCAAAAACAATTGTGTATGGAGCGAGTGAGATCTTTAATGCATCACAGTTTGTTAAACAGGTATAATGAAGACTTAACACACTTTTCTTGGTAGAGATGCAACTACCGTACCTGAAAAATATAAGAATTTCGACGTAGGGCCTTCGCTCAAAACGTCGAAATTCTCCTTATATTTTTCAGGTAGTTGCATCCCTAGCAACGAAAGCTTGTTTATATTATTGACACTATCCAGGGCCGCCGAGAGGGGGGGGGGGGCAAATTGCCCCGGGCCCCGAGGTGCTGGGGGCCCCTGAAAAATTTTTGTTGCGCCCCAGTCTTTTTTGTGTGTTAAATATTTCCGCGCAAAGGACAAGATATCTGTTTTCTTGGGCTAAGTACCGAAATTTGGCATAAAAAAATGAGATAAAGTCGCTGGAAAGCAATAGCAACGTACTCGTCTGGAAAAATTTTTTACTCCGGAAAAATTTTTTTCCCCTAAAATGGTACACTGACCGAAATTTTTTTGGCGACGGGGGGGGGGGGTTGTTATCCGCCAACCTCTCGGCGGTCTGACACTACCTAACACTGACACAGACACAGACAGTTCAAGATTATGAAGACTTTTAATTCTACAATACGTATCTCTCGGTTGATCTCGAATATGTCTGAAGTATTTTTTTTGTTGTATTTTTGTAGCTGGCAGTTCTTGGAGGCGATCCTCAATCTTAACGGTATTTAAAACAGTAATATAACATACAGCACCAGAGGTCGGGAATATCTGTGCCAACTGATCTAAATATTTGCAACGGAGTGAAGTAGTAGAGTGGAGTATGGTAAATCTATAGAAGTGGGAAAAACACTTGAATATGGCTAACCTGCGATCAGGCCCTCGATGATTGCAGGCGTGCTACACAAATGCATCATTGATGGTGGAGTCCACAGTATTCCTTCATTCACTGCAAAAATTCCCGGAGCATTTTGACTAAAGAGTTTGAGTAAAATATAGTAATGCGCACATACTGTGACTCAAAATAGTGAGTACAGTTACTCAAATATATATGAGCGAATTTACAGTACGTAAGTTTCAAATTTACTTAATGTATGAGTAAAGATTTTATAAATTTGAATAATTGTACTCAATACTTTGAGTCATTATGGGTGCATTATTTTACTCAAGTCTCTTTATTTGCAGTGTTTTAAATTAAATTGTAAATACAATAAATTAATACAGTATATTATAAGTTTGCAAAGTAAGCTCTTCCTATACAAGGAAAAATAGGTAAGCTGTATGAAATGGACACCAAGTTATTTATAAAATGGCGTGCAAGCCTTACATGAAGAGCACAGAAAAATAATGTTGAACGATCTGTGGCAGTGTCGCGCCGCCCGTAACCCAGGAGGGCCTGTTCGCAGGCTATGGCAGTGTAGGTATTGCCAATATTAATAAGAAAACGTCGGATTGATAGGGATGCAACTGCCCGAAAAATTGGAGAAATTCTGCTGGTATTTTTCAGGTAGTTTTATACTATTTTATCCTTCAATCCGACGTTTCCATATACAAATGCTCGATACTGTTTTTACTAGGATGAATGGACCATTCCCCAATTAACCAAAATTTTGAACTCAACAAGTCTAGACAAAAATTTCATCACAGCTTGAAAGAGCATCACAAAATTAGTAATATTCCAAAGTTTCGTTGCAAAATGTTGTAAAATGCGGATAATATAGCCTTGCGAAGTTTGCAATTTTCAGTCATTTTAGATTACAAACGGGAAATGGTTACCACTTCTGTGCGTAATACAAAATGACTGAAAATTACAAACTTCGCAAGCCTATATTATCCGCATTTTACAACATTTTACAACGAAACTTTGGAATATTACTAATTTTGTGATGCTCTTTCAAGCTGCGATGACATTTTTGTTTAGGCTAGTTAAGATCAAAATTTTGGAAAAGTGGTAACCATTTCCCGTTTGTAATCTAAAATGACTGAAAATTGCAAATTTCGCAAGGCTATATTATCCGCATTTTACAACATTTCGCAACGAAACTTTGGAATATGACTAATTTTGTGATGCTCTTTCATGCTATGATGGAATTTTGTCTAGATTTGTTTAGATAAAAATTTTGGTTAATTGGGGAATGGTCCATAGGGGACGGATAATTTACAATTTTTATCATGCATAATGGGTGCTCCTGCATAAAACGGTTATATGAAGATGAAAGTAAACAAACGAGTAAGATATAATGTCAATACATTTTATTAATTTAATCTTCAGTTTACCGCTGGTGGTTTTACACAAAATTGAAAAGCCACTGTATAAAATATAAGATAGTTAATTCGTCTCTTGTTCCAAAATATTACTCTTAAATTCATAATTACAGATTACAGTAATAGGTATCCATTATTCTTCGTGAAGCTGCTCATTTATGAGCATTGAATGTCAACGTTCTTTACTCTTCAGTGGTTTCTGTCATTTCCTCGATTTCTTCATCACGTTGAACTTTGATATCTTTATCCTCAATCGCCGTGGGCTTTCTCTCCGCCTCTATTTTGAGCACGCCATCTTGGTTCAACCTACTAACAAGTGTACTGCCATCCACTTCACTTGGCAGAGTAAAATACTGCTTAAAATGTCGACACGTGTGGACACCATCTTTCTCAGTTTTATTCTCAGCACTGACAAGCAAACCATTGCCTTGCAATTTAACATTCACTTCATCAGACTTGTAGCTGCCAAGGTTTATTTCCAGGGACAACTTCTTATCATCTTCGCCTTCTTTGGATTGTTGTTTTACACCTTCAATCTGCAGAACACCACTTTCGATTCTGGACTTCACCGACTGTGGGTCGACATTTTCTGGTATGTTGTCAGCACGATGAAATTCAGACGTTTCGTACCCGTGTTCTGTTTCTTTCCGTTGTTTTCCACTTACAATAACTTTCCCATTTTCGACTTTACAATCCAACTCGTCCGGTTTGTATTTCTTGACATCCAATCCAGCCACTTTTATACGGTCGCTATTTTGGTTTTCCCAACATGACTGTTTAGCTGGGTTGTTCTCTACTGGTCTTAAGCAGAGATATCTTGGATAGTGATATCCTTCTGGTTGGAAAGCCATGCCAAGCATTTCATCAATTACGTCTGATGGTCGTAAAGTTCTGCTGAGAGGTCGGGGACAAAATCACAAAAACACTCGTTGTTTGACTCTTGTTTCAGTAAGATGGTGGAAAGAAAATCTCTATTTATTTGCCACCGAATACAAGACTACTGGATATACAGAAAAATTCTAACAGTTGACTACCATCTGTTCCCACCTATAGCTTTAAAATAAAGAAACACAAAGTTTTCCACGAGAAATAATGGTTCAATTTGGAAACTTACCTGCAACAGTTATGCACTGGTATACTTAAGAGACTTAAGGTTACAGGACACCTTTTTTGGCGTTTTGCGGAAAATCGCTACTGCGCGCTCAATATCAGTCCGATTTTCATCAAATTTTCACCAAATGTTCTCCAGTGCATGCAAAATATGGTAAAGTTGTAAAATTAACAAACAATAAAATAATGTAAGAATTATTCAGGAAAATCTTAAATCGCGGTACCGTTACGCTTTTGAGTTATGTTCCTGCTGGTTTTAAGTTATATTTATGAAAATATAATTTTTATACAGTAAAATAGTTGTTCTAAAAAATCGTGTTCGGAAATTTTTGTTTATTTCGTCATTCCGCTGATATGGCGATTTCTTTGACGACTGCAATATATTTCTGAATTGTTTTAGTAAATTGCTCTTTATTTTTAAAATATTCAAAATTAAAAAAAAGCCGAACACGATTTTGAAACTGACGTCTTTAGCTATGCCCTGTGAAAATTTGAGAAAAATTGGTTAAAACCCGCGGGAGCATAACTCGTTTGAAAATCAGTAATTACCGTAAAATTTTTCGGGAGAAAATTGAATTTGAATATTACATTTTCAATGTTTTTCTTATTGCAGCGAAATGTATTTTATTAAATAACTCTGCGAGTTTTCAACATTTTCCGTTCAAACTTGGTCAGATAGTAGAACTAGTCTAATGCTTTCATGGAAACCAATAAAAAAATTTTAGGCAAAATTAACACTCAAAGGTGTTCTGTAACCTTAAGAATGCCATGTCCAATTTGTATTTATAAGAATCTTTTCCAAACACTTCTTTCTTCCAAGTTTACTTGCTCCGTTGCGATTTTCTTGAAATCTTGCCCTAGGCTTGGGATTGAAGGATTATATACTCCCTACTTCATTCTATTTTTAGTATCTTACCTAATTTCCATACCAGTGATGTAATATTCTATATTTAGTTCCGAAATTTGCAGAGTCACTGACTCGAGTGATCAGTGATGTAATGCTTCTATTTATAGAAATTGCTGGTTCATGATTACTCAAATAGTGCTAACTCAGTGGTACTGACTCATTCAAATTTTCTGATTACTTATATTGCATATTTAATATCGTAGGTTGGGTTATGTCAGTGGGTTATTTGCTTGTGGGCGGGGCTAGTTCTATTAAAGATTGTGGGGGTTATTATGGCCAATTTCCTGTCAAAATGCCAGGGAAATATCTCATTTGTCGTTCAATCCACAAATAACAATAACAGTATACTCTACGTGTCTAATGACAAGCTAAATTTTGCAACAAACATGCGAAGTGACAGGTCTCACGCATGCGTAGTAAGTTCGCTCTTCCCTGGGGTGGGGACGAGGTTGCCTACAAATTAAAACCGGAAGAACAATGTACATTCCTAGAACATTCCTGAACATTAAATTTTGGTCATTTGCATCTTGATTTTGTAAGTACTTTTTGAGGAGTTGGAAAGACGAAAATAGGTTGGTTTTGATCTATTTGGCATGGCGTTCTTCGATATACCATTGCAGAACCCCTATCGGTGAGTAAATGAGCTTTCTCCTTGTTCTTTTTGTCCTAACACAACAGGATGCGGTGTAATTACTGGTTGGAGATCGTTTGCCACAAGGTCAAGTTGTATTTTATGTTTACATGTAGAAAGCAGATTACGTGTGACTTTTGTATGTATGAAAGATTAACTAAGTGTTAATCATGTCCATGCGAAACATAGATTCGTTTTTTGACTCGTAAGTATAAAATATGTTGTTAACTAGCTACTTCGTATGTCTAAATGTTTGCAGAGTTTTGCTTATGTGGTGGTTGTTTTATATTGTTAGCAAAGTTTGAAAACTGCTTCACTGTTAGTAGGTTTCAGTATAGTAAGGGATAGAGTGCTGTTGACAAATAGATTTTGTTTCGCAGTTGACATTTTGTTTCGCAGTTGAGATTTTGCAATCACCTAATCACCAGTCAATGTCTTATGAAAGAGAAAAATCAGTTTCGACCCAATTATTCTCTCCCATCTATTTGTCAACAAGACGATGACCAATGTGTGTTCCAGTGTAAATCTTATTTCTTTTCTTAATCTTATTCTCTAGTTTTTATGACGAGTCCCCCTCACTGACCGATACACTTGACGAAATGTTTGATATGACATTTCCACCGGTTCGTTATCGCAGTCCTCGGTACGTTGCACAGCAACGTCAATCACAGCGCACCCGATCTCAAGACAGCAACAAGTTATTGATTGCTCAACTGGATGTAAGCCACTACAAGCCTGAGGAGGTTAACTGCAAAGTTGAGAATGGCAAAGTCCTTGTTTCGGGAAAACATTATGCAGAAAATGAGTATGGATATGAAGCTTCTGAATTTCACCGGAGCTACAGTCTTCCAGAAGGTACAGACCCAATGTCGGTGAAGTCAAGAATCTCTCAAGATGGGGTCTTGCAAATAGAAGCATGCAAACAGCAACCGAAGTCGCTCACACTTGATCCGGCTTTGGGTGTCGATGAAACGGATGATACAAAAATGTCACTAAAGTTTAACCTTGCTGGTTACAAACCTGAAGAAGTAAATGTCCGTGTGAAAGGAAATGAACTTATGGTTGCAGCAGAACACAAAATCGAAGAAGAAGGTCACTTCACACATCGACAGTTCAAGCGTCGGATCTCGTTGCCTTCTGAAGTGGATGTGAACACGCTGGTGTCGAAATTTGGGAAAGATGGAGTACTGAGTATCCAAGCTGATAAGAAATTGCCACCCGCGATTGAGGAGAAGAAAATTGAAATCCAACAAGATGCTGAAGCAGAGAAAGAGTAGCTTTGCTATTTTAATTTTGAACTGCTTTGCTATGCCAAATGCCATTGTTTGCAACTAAGGATGAATAGTCACAGATAAAACATTGTTTGTTCATCCTTAGAGCACTTAATATCTATTAATTAATTAAATAGCATGTAGTATGCTTTGTTGTTGAATATTCATTCATTTATTAGTTGAATATTCATGATGTAAGCTGCTAGTGCCTTTGCAACTAAAAATCAAAACACTGCTATGTATAACAATGTATTATTTGGTACAAATACAACATAATATATAAAATTTCTAATAATTTCATTGTGCATTTACTGTAATGACTACATATTTACAACAGCCGAGCACACGTAATTTGGAGAAATACTGTTGTTTTAGTATAAATGGTCTTTGGCAGTCTGGGGGTTATGCTGTTTATCCACCCAGTAACCACATTATTTATGATATCTTGCATTATGCAGAGATGTTCATCCAGTGTGGCAGAGTCACATTGAGAACAGATGTGCGAAGCAACGTAATTCATTCATGTTAAGTTTCTGTTGGTTCTCCATCGACCAAGCCTTGAGATCGCTTTCTTTCATATTCATTCAACATGCCCACAGCTTCTTTAACTTTCTGTCTTTCTCTGTAATGCTGGTAAGAACATATCTCCCTGAAATCAACAAATTGAGTTTAGTTTATTTACTTCATGGAATTTCTCACTCATTGGTGAGCGGATTATTTCCCAATACACGCTTCCGGAAAGTACATCACTTTGGCTATAGAGTCTCGTTTTCGTGATTGAGATGCGGTCTTTACCTGATGTCTGATACACGAAAACAAGGCTCTATAGCCAAAGTGACATACTTTCCAGAAGGATGTATTGATAGGAGATCCAAAGTACCTATGATTTAATATCCTTATCCAAGAAAATGTGAATGTCTAACCATTTACTGATGTCAATGTAATTTAAAGGTAGCTCTTTCTCCTCAATTATTTTAAGACCTTGAGTAGAGGTCCAACAGAGGATTGAACGTGGGTCTCCCAGCTTGGAAGGTGTGTGGTGATCATGACACCACAAGTGTTGGTTTTAAGGTGTTCCAGCTAGGATTATCACAGATAATGCACAGCCAGGAACAAATCCTAGCTTCATTTTCTTCAAGCTGATGTGCAAGTGGCCACTACCAGTGGGGTCCAAAAACTAATGATGCTTCTGTTTAGGGCGAGGGGTTGACACTCCTAGCAAATTCATGCCAGTGCAGAGATTCTAAGTATTTTGTCAGGAGATTTAAGATATTATTAATTAATTTAAACTGTATCAGAATATTTGATATCACGGTAAAATTCTGTTAGCTTACCATGAAGTAAGAGACAAAACAGCAAATGTTCCAACGGCATAGTCACATGCCTTCCGTACTACTTCTACCAAACAAAAATGTGATATTATATTGATGGATTTTGAAATTTTGCTCTGGGGGGTAGGGGGTGGGGTGCCAAAAATTCAGGAGGTGAAGTGAGTGCCACCTAGCAAGCTGAAGCAGGAGGGGTGCGAAATGTTTTTTGGGGTGCACCCCCCAGAAATATGCAATGCTAATATTTGTATAATTGTATTATACTAGTACAGACATTCCAACTCTCCCGATTTTACTGGGAGTCTCCTGAAAATTCACGCAATCTCCTGGTCTCCCGATTTTTATCAAATTTTCCCGATTTTTCAGAATATTCAGGAAATATTGTAAAAAAATCATAAACATACTGTTTTTAGCAACATACTGTAATAATTCTCAAAATGCAGGAAACGCCATTTCAGAAGACTTAATTTTTATTATTTTTTTCCCAGAAGAACAATCATGAACTGAACAGTCTCCCTATAAAATATTTTTACGTCAAGTAGTTGGATCGATCGAATGTCTGCTACTATATTTTATTAATATTATATTACGTATAACTTCATACTTGCATCAAATGAAATACTTACTAGTTTTTAAAAACACGGCAGCACCGACTAGCAAACCTGAAGAGATACCAAGTATCAGAGATTCTCTGGCACAAGGAATTTTTTGAATATCCCAACTCCATTTTGTCTGGGAGAAATATTTATAAAAAGAATATTAAAAGAACTGTAACGCCGATTTTATAGATTTATACAGGAATAGAAAGCCAAGTAGATTAAAATTTTAATTCACATTTGAAAACTACAGGATTCACAAAGGTAGAGCGCATTTAGGTGATTTAGCGAAGAAAAATAGAAAATTTTCTCACCGATTTCCTCTCACGGTCCGCCATGTTTACTTTGTGGGTTGTACTTCATGTAGCTGTGCGCGAAATGGCCTGATTGAGCGCAACATCACCAGACCTCACAACTTTGCAGAGAAGTTAAGAGTGAGATTGGGGATGTGGATGACACCTTTGTAAAAGTCCGGGGGTCTGAAATGGCATTTCGTACATTATGAGAGTTGGTGTTTTTTAATGAAATACGTCATTGCTTCATAACGTCCTTTAAGACAAGGCAATTAGTTATAATAACTGTATTTCTGTGACATACAGTAATGAGCTTTAATTTGCCTTTGATAATTTACATATAGAATTCTGCTCCGACTGATTGTGCCTTTTGTCCGCCGTATTTACATATGCGTACTATTTTGTATCCAAGTTGCAGGCAAAAGCCAAAATGTCGGGCCGTATATGCAGGAACAATAACACGCGATTATATTGAAAAAATACTATGAAACTGCCAAATGCGTGAGATTTACAAAACGTGGCGTGAGAGCGTGAGAGTGAAGCGAATTGCGTGAGACTCACGACGAATGCGTGAGAGTTGAGAGGTCTGCATCACACTATTGATGAGTTTTATTTAAAATAAAGTCAACACTTGCAAATAATGCATTATATAATTAATAATTTATTGACATTAAATAAATAAATAAATACCATTAAGATTAAATTACGCCTGTATGGTCGTCAAATCTAAGTGCCACCTAAGTGCCTCCACTAATTATATATTTTCAATATTTTAATTATTGCAGTGCTCTGAAAACATTCAACATTTTTCACATATTTGCTCTGACACCACGGCAGAACTCTTCCATAAACAGTTCAACTGGTGTTACAATAAACAGTCAAACAAAGTAAACTGCTGTTCACTTTTGTGAAAAATGACCGACAAATGTTCAGAAACAATTTAGTTACATCTATGTCAGTTTTTGCCATGCAATGATAAGTCGTGACTCGTGAGAAAATAATACTCGTCCCTGACCGAAAACAATACTGTATTAATGCGAATCAGATTGTTTTTAAATGGTGCTATATGGTATTAAGGTGCGATTATATAAAACATGAGTTTTAAAAGAAAAGAGATATCCATTTCGTCCTTCCTTATTTGAATTCAGCCCAGGATGCAATCATTTGGCTAGGATTACCGGCTTTGAGCAAGCCTTCTGGCGAAGCTGCAAAGAATAATGGAGTTAAGTTAATTATACAAATGTCGACTGTGCAATCAACGCACTGGGATTTAAAAAGACGAGATTTGGGCTTGTGGTGTGATATGCTGTAGAATAGTGTCGTGTGGTATGGTAGTAAGGCGTGTGGTATGGTATGGTGATACTTCACCAACAACAACAGACAACAACAAAACTTTTATTTTCACTCAAATATATACAAATTTCTTGATGGCCCGCTTAGATTATCTTTTGCCATTTGTGGGTCATAAAGAAATTTGTATATATTTGAGTGAAAATAAAAGTGTTGTTGTTGTTGTTGTTGTTGTTGTTGTTGTTGTCGTTGTCGTTGTCGTTGTCGTTGTCGTTGTCGTTGTCGTTGTCGTTGTCGTTGTCGTTGTCGTTGTCGTTGTTGTTTGTTGTTTGTTGTTTGTTGTTTGTTGTTTGTTGTTTGTTGTTTGTTGTTTGTTGTTTGTTGTTTGTTGTTTGTTGTTTGTTGTTGTTGTTGTTGATGAAATGGTGTAGTGTGGTACATATGGTGTAGTGTGGATCGTTGATTGCATGGTATGATGAAATGCGTGTATATGTATGTATGTAAAATTTATTTAAAGAAGCTATATAGCCTCGTCAACAGGAGTTGGTCTTCATGATGGGGCTTCACAAACCAACTAAAATATTTACAAATCTTTTTCCGGAACTCCTTTCTCGGTTTTAGAAGGACTATATATCAGTATTACTGTTTCTAAGATTATAATGAAGCTGCAATGAACTACTCCTAATCAGTGACTCTTTCAAATTAGTGGCAGTGTTGTCATTTAAAATTTTCTACAGAAGAATTGATTTCATCTTTTGTCTTATCTTCTTTCTACTAAAGTCACGCAACCAAGAGATTCAAGAACGTTAGCCTGCGTAGCAGGCGTTTAGTGCGGGCGTTTGGAAGGAGAAGATTTTTTTAATTAGCTGCATACCAGTACAATCTATATAATAATATATTCACACAATCACTTCTTAGAAATTTCTTACCAACATAAGTAACTGATCCAACAGTTTTGGATGTTCCAGACACTTGGTACAAAGGATTACCATGTACTGGGTATAAAGGAATCACTATTGGTAAAGAACATCCAGACTTCACTGCGTTCCAGTCAGCTTCAGAAATCACGCGCACAGATTGAGAGGAGATTACCTCCATGTAAATAGGAGTGTCTGCTGATGTCACACCGAGAGCGTAAACTTTTCCAGTGGCTTCGTCAAGGCCAATCACGTTGACAATACTTGGATGCATTGCTAGGAAAATATATACATAGAGTGACATGACTCCTGGTGTGCTCACCTTTGGGAAACATGCCTGACTAATGTTTTTGCAGTATTTCTGGATTTAAAGGGTACATGATTGGCAACAAATTTTAAGTACGTTTGGATTGAAAGAACTTCTTAAAATGTAGAACAAGACATTTTACAAGATTTTTATATCTTTCTTCGGTTCAGTGATATGTTAATGAGATGACGTCACAAGCTGGGTCAATTTTTTGACAGTTCACAGCACCCTTAAAACCTTCATGTTTTTGTATGCTAGATTAGTCAATTGAATCATCGATATAGATTTGAATGATTTGATTTGTTTTGAACTGTGAGCTCTTTGGCGAGACTGTCAGACTTGGAATTCATTGCTCTTACCCTTTAAAGGCCGTGTTACACGAAGAAATGTTTGCTGCAACTTGCAAAACAACTCTGGTAGAGTGACATTATGTAAAAGTAAAACTCACAGTAAAAGTAAGAACTTGATTCTCAATTTGTTCCGCCGACCTTTAAATTCCTTACCGGACATACTACCTCTGTACGAAATAAATGAATGAGAATGAAAATATAACAGAAAAGTGAAAAGCTGTCCAACACTGTCCAAAACCTCGTAACCTGACATCACTATATCATGTCCGTATAATTGCATTGCAAGTTGCAGCAACAATAGCCTCAAATGGTGGGCAGTTCAGACTGTAAAAGGTCGTGAAAAAACAGGACACAGTTTTTAAACATACAAAGATATATATAGCTATTAATACTAACGGTCCCACTTTAATCCCGCATCTATACTTCGATAGCAGTTTGGTTTGGCTTGCATTCTGAAATATGAAAACAGGTTTTACTGAAAGTTAGTGAATCATATAGTTTCATGTGAAAATATTGTCACTTCATGTTGCGTATTCTAGTTGCTGAATTCACTAACCTATCTGGATGGACATTGCATAAAATAAGTAAATCAACAGCCGCAATAAATCCTCGTTGATAAGCTTCGTCTAAAACAAATGATGAAGAGGTTTTAATGTCGTCTATATAAGTTGTGGGTTGTGTCTAAACTACGTAACAAAAAGATTGAAAACACCTCGATAATTCCTCCTAACACAAGGCTCTGGAAGTGTTTTAATCTTTTTTCTGTAATTCGGACACAAACCTAGGCATGTGCAGCTTTTATTTAAAAACATCCCCAGTACTCTTATACTAACATGGTTTTGTGGCAGCAGTATCTTCGCAACCGAATAGCTTCAATTTTGTCCCAGCAATAGCAGTACTGGGCTTCACAATGTGGATTCGTAAAAACCAGACAGTCAATGGTGTTGGAAGTAGATTGTAAATTACATCCACCGCGTTTGTGTTTGCCTTGAACTCCTGCATAATCACAGAAATAGAAGATGAAACGTCATGATGTCACAGCCCTCAGAGTTTTAAACTGCCGTTTTAGAGTACAGGAGGAAACCTAAAATAATGTATCTTTATTTATACTGGATAGCTGCATCAGTTCTAAACTGTTCCCTCTAAAGGTCCACTGTTACTACGATGGAAACCTGAACTAACTTTATCAGTTAATGATTGTGTTCAGAGTTCGATTCCCACTGCGGTGTCGGTGAAGCAAAAACAATAGGTGGACTTGATAACTCAGTTCTAAGCTCTGGTGAAACAAGAACAAGAGTTGATGAGAGTTGAGAAGCGAGAGTTTGCATGGGAATTTTCTCAACTTTCATGTCTCGGTCAAATGAGAACAAGAGTTGTATGAGAGTGGACCTTTCCCCTTATAACTAAAATTTTGATCTAGACAAAAATTTCATTACAGCTTGAAAGAGCATCACAAAATTAGTAATATTCCAAAGTTTCGTTGCGAAATGTTGTAAAATGCGGATAATATACCCTTGCGAAATTTGCCGTTTTTCAGTCATTTTGTATTACGCGTGGGAAATTGACAGCCCAATCGGGTGTTGGGGGCCGCATCAATTTCCCGTGCGTAATACAAAATGACTGAACAACGGCAAACTTCGCAAGGCTATATTATCCGCATTTTACAACATTTCGCAACGAAACTTTGGAATATTACTAATTTTGTGATGCTCTTTCAAGCTGTGATGACATTTTTGTCTAAACTTGTCTAGATCAAAATTTTAGTTATAAGGGGAAAGGTCCGTTGGCTAGATATTACTGCGCTAGAGCGAAAACTCTTATCAACTCTCATTACTTAAAATTTGAACCAGTTCAACGTCAATGACAGGTCGATGAGCGTTGACGGTCAAACATGAGCGAGAGTTGCAATTCTCATCAACTCTCATCCTCATTTGACCGAGGCTTAAGGTTCTGTAAAGAGATCTAGTGATGACCATCAACTTGAGGAACTGAAATACCCTCAGGGAAGCACTCTTCTCTGCATATTCTGAAGTAAAAAACGAATCACAAAGGTGAAAAAACCCACAAACAACTAAAGTTAAATATACTTGAGTTTCCTAAAGTCATTCGCTCACACAAATATTAAATTTTAAAAAGTCAAGTCAAGAACTTTTTTGTTGACAATAATAATGCTAACCTTTTTCTTTCCCATCTGCGTCACATACTTCCAATGAGCACCGTTCTGGCTGTATGATAAGTGGAAACTTCTCGTGAACTGGTTCTTTTGAGAGAAACCATGAGTATAAATTCGTCGCACGGTCGTTTTGTGTTCAAAATCAAATTGAATGTATTCATCGGCAAGACGAGCGCCTGTTTCGTCTGTCCAAACTTCCCAGTTCTTGTCTGCAAAAGGTGCGCTGGGCGAGGTGTGTCGTACTGGGCAGCATGGTAGCATGGCTGAACTCGCTTGTATGACAGTACCAATGGTCAATGACTGGTCGCAGGTATCTGTAGAAGAATAGGTGGCTTTCATTAAACAGTACTGTGCAGCTAATGGTGCATGATCAATTGGCAGTTATCACAGTCAGTAAACTTCTTTTCACATTATATATTTATATGTAGTATTGTAGTAATCAAATCAATATAATTGAGAGATATTGTTTGATTTTTTTGAAGCTGACCATCGCTTGCTTCTTTCTAATCTTCAGGCAAACTTGGAAACATTGTTGAGATTTGAGCATTTCAATGTTTCCAGATATGTTTCCCGTTTGCCCGCTCATGCTTTGCGACAACACAACACGCTGCGGAGGAACAAGAATGGGCAAAAACGTAGATTTTATTTTTTAGGCTCAACTCGCGTAAATTTGTATAATATGACCCCTTTTTAAGAAAACGATATTGATGGCGATGCAACTACTTGAAAAATACAAGGAGGAGCGAAGGTACGGGAAGTTTCCAACCTCCCGACAAGGGCCTTCGCTCGAAACGACAAAGTCCTCCTAATCCAAAGCTTTCTTATTATTGTCATTACCTGCACTGGCACATATCTTTCTAATTAAGCCTCTCTCTCTCGTAAACACCCATTATTATTTATAAACAACCCTTCAAAGAAACTCCCCTGTCTAATAGAAACCCTTTCTAATAGAGCACCTCTAGCTAGCTGAGCCCTCTCTAATAAAGCCGTTCTCCAACAAACTGCATATCTCTCTAATAAACAGCCCTCTCTAAAAACTCTCCTGTGTAATAAACATCCCTCTCTAACAACTATCCTCTATAATAAACCCCCCTTTCTAATAAACAACTCTCTCTAACAATTAACCTCTCTAATAAACACCCCTCCCTAACAATCAACCTCTCTAATAAACATCCCTCTCTAATAAACACCCTCTCTAACAACTCTCCATTGTAATAAACACCAGGCCCTCTCTAACAACTCTCTTCTGTAATAAACGCCCCTCTCTAACAACTATATCCTCTATAATACACATCCCTCTCTGGCAAATCCGCTCTCCAACAAACTGCACTTCTCTCTAATAAACGCCCACTTCCAAGTCATGGATGCGGCCCTAAGTAAAAATGATCGAATCAAACTAACCTGACACGACATAATATTTGAATGCCAATTGAAGACTCTCCTTCTTTTCTATAGTTTGCAGGTTAGTACAAGAGCCAGAGCCATCTGGATCTGTTTTGTAATGAAAACTGCCATAGATATTACCGTAGACGAATTTTCCCTTGTCAGAACCACCATAAGTCATCTTAATAGAGATTTTTGCTCTTTGGCCAACATTCAACGGCTCTGTAAACTTGATGTGCATACGTTTGTTTGTTTGTTTGTTTGTTTGTTTGTTTGTTTGTTTGTTTGTTTGTTTGTTTGTTTGTTTGTTTGTTTGTTTGTTTGTTTGTTTGTTTGTTTGTTTGTTTGTTTGTTTGTTTGTTTGTTTGTTTGTTTGTTTGTTTGTTTGTTTGTTTGTTTGTTTGTTTGTTTGTTTGTTTTGTTTGTTTGTTTGTTTGTTTGTTTGTTTGTTTGTTTGTTTGTTTGTTTGTTTGTTTGTTTGTTTGTTTGTTTGTTTGTTTGTTTGTTTGTTTGTTTGTTTGTTTGTTTGTGTTTGTTTGTTTTTTGTTTGTTTGTTTGTTTTTTGTTTGGTTAGATAGGTGGTTAGTCAGTTAGATCGGGCACGCATGACCATGTTGAAATTTAATAATAATCTATGAATTTGGGATGCCTATAAAAATCTGTAATCGGAGGGTGCCAGTGATTTAGTTAGCAGCAGCTATATTGGTATGTTACATTAGAGTAAGTTTGTTTATAGTATAAGTTTAGATTAAGACACCCTAATCAGGGACGCCGGAATGATAAAAAGGCAAGGGGCAAAACGGATGGGATAACGTTTGATGAGATATAGGCCTGCCTGATTGTGTATTGACTTGCCAATGAAAGCAAACGCACTTAATCAGGTCACATTCAAGATCACACCTCATGATTTTGCCCAAAAAGCATCACTGCACATGTGATTATCAGGTAGTATTTTATAATTCAAAGGGCACTTCTGCCCCCCCCCTTGCCCCTCCTAGCAAAAGGCAAGAGGGGCAGCTGCCCCTCCTGCCGCCCCCTCAGTTCCGGCGTCCCTGACCCTAATAAAGCACTCACCGTAATCACAATTCCGCCACTCGTCGACAAATCAAAAGCTGGCGAGGGTCCGACAGCAGTGGCCACTGGTGAGGTCAGGGTTGATGGGGCTGACAGGGTGATGGTTAGCGAGGAAGCGAATCCTTTAGAGCCGGGTAAATGATAGATATCAATTTCAAATTTGAAATTACTGTAAGAAAGAAAGTATTCTGTGGTTAGTATTGCTGCTAAAATAAACTAATTTAGATTATACTGGATAGCAGTTCTGTATGGGTTCAGTTCTTTAGTCACAGCGTTATACTAAAGAAGTTAAACTAACTTCTAGTAGTTTTATCAGTTCCGTTTTAACTGTTCTCCCTAGAGCGTGGGCATAAAGAATCATTCCTTATTGGCCCAGGGTAATTGCAGGAGGAACAGACGAAAATAACCGAGGGAAATTTACGGTGTTTAAATACAGTCAAACTGGAAGCACACTTCGCACATGCGACAACATAATATTGCAGGATTCAAACTCCAGAGATGAAATGTACCACCACGCACTTCAATATTTGTTTTCTTTGAAATGGGAAATAACGCATGTTTGTGGCGTGAAACGTGATTTACATGCTTAGCCATGAGCCGCGTGATTGAAGAATGAACGAGTATATTGAGAAGTGCGATCATGAAGAAGAGCAATGCATGCCAATGCTTTTGGATGCAATAATTTTACTGCATGCATGTATTTTCTTGATTTTTACTACATATATTGCTTGTTTTAAAAAACGTGTATCAGTGGTGAAATTAATTTGGAAAACGTAAAAATAGGCTAACGGATTAAGACAAGCATTTGAAATACTCAAGACAGAAAATAAAATTTACACAGTTAAAAACGTAATTTTCGTGAAATTGTTATTTTTTACACGTGAAATGTGAAATGGCTGTTTTTCTTCACGTGAAATGTGAACCAGCCCTTTACCACCTCAATTAATTAAACACAAAATTGTTAAAATACTGAGCACAAGTTAAGACAATTTTGTAACATACATACATATACATACATACATAAACTTTATTTATACTCGAATTTGTGAGTAGCTTACATGGCTAATTTCTCCGAGTAAAAAGCAAAATCAAGACAATTTTGTAGGCAAATCAAGACAATTTTGTAAAGCAGGAAGAACAGAAGAGTGCCGGTATACCTCATATCTGGTTTATGTCCGTCTGGTATTTTCAGAGACACTCCAACATCAGCTGGTCCGCTTTGCAAGTCTACTTTTACAGACTTTCCAATAACCCAAACAGCATCGTTCAGATAATGCATACCGAAATACAACCAAAATACTGTCCCTGATGTGACACTGGTATGATCTGGAAAATAACAAAAAAAACTTCACTGTATTGCCCTGTTATTCATTGTGTTATGTTGTGTTGAATGGTGGTGTTATATTATTGTGCATGTTGCGTTGCGTTGTGTTGCGTTGTTATGTTGCGTTGTGCTGCGTGCATTATTTTCCATTATATTATTGTATTACTTGATTACATCACGTTGTACCTACCCATGTATTCAAAAAGTATGTCAACTTAACCGTCCGTATTCTAAAAGCTCACTCGCACTCACACTCAATGAGTGCAAGTTTAATCTGAGCTTCTCTCGAGTGTCATTGCTGTTTTTGAATAGCTGGACGGCTAGTGTCATACCTTATTCAGTGACTACTCACCCTCCAGCTAATCGAAAACAGCAATGACACTCAAGAGAAGCTCAGATTGAACCTCCACTCGCATTGAGTGTGAGTGAGCTTTTAGAATACGGGCGTACTACTTACTCAATAAGCGTGCTTGTACTTGCACGACCAAGTCGTCTCCAGGTTTTTTAGAACCTGTATTCCAAGTTACATTTCCAAAATCAATAGAGCTCTGGCTACGAGAATTCAAGCTGGCTGAATCTTCTTCGGCATAGCTGTAAAGCTGTTGCGAAGTCTGAAAGTTTTTGCCTTTACCGATTACTTCAATTTTCTCCACGTTTAGAATCGGGGTTTGGGAATACGGCAAACTGACATGGAAGGAGAGTGTAGTGTTTTCTGTGATGACGAGATGAGAGTTGTATATAATAAGATCGCCTGGCGTAGCTGTAACTTTGGCAGTACCAGCAGGTTTAACAACGAACGAAAATGCACAGGTCTAAAAATGGCGTGGAAATATTTTAATACTGTTGTCACAATGATTAGCAGAGATAGCAACCGACTGACTATTATGAAACTTTATTTATGTATAACAGCTGTATCAGTTTTTAACGATACTGTTCTCTGAAGAAGTACACGGTAAAGCTCATTCCTTATCGGCCCTGTAAAGTAGCTAATTAGCTATACTTATACTGGCTATTGCCTAGCTTTATCAGTTCTAAACTGTTTTTTTGTAGGTTCAGTGAAGGTCCAGTATACTGTTAACTCTGTGTTAAGTTCTGTTACTTCTGTATTTATTTTGATTCAGTATTGGTCCACTCTATGAAACATCGCAGGTTTTCTGCGGAAACTCTCCGGTTCTCTCTGATCAATCTGGAGCCCATCTTTTCTATTCAATGTTGGGAGTAATTATTCCGGTAACAAAAATCGCACTTGGTCAGCTTGAAAAAATGTTTCTAAACTCGTTTGCTTTCTGTGACGCGAATTTTGTTCCCACAACTGAATGTTTCCAAGGGTGCCGGGAAAACAAGAAAAAAACTCGACGAAACATTGTGACAATGCTTCCTAATTTGTCCAGGTGACTTTACAGACGAACTACAGATTACGGCAAAATCTATTTCAAATGGCGAACGCGTTTTCAATTTGATTTATTTCTGCATCATGACTATTATGAAGTATTTGCTCACCTTTAGTGGCGTAAATGCCATCACTAGCAACAAAAGGTAGACTGCCTTCATCTCCATTATCAGTTCATCGCACGAAAGGAAACGAAATTAAAGCTCTTGTCTTTTAAACTATGGCGCTGTTCAACGAATGCAGATGTTTTCGGATAGCTACGCAGTCCGTGTTTGAGTCGTTATTCAACTCCGGTTGCTAAACATTGAATCGTTGCTAAGAAATGCTTTGAATTTTCAACCGCAATTTTTAACCAAAAAACGCAATAATAATGATCTGTTCTTCTATTGCCAAAAATGGCATGTTTTTTGTTAAAATTTAGTATGAAAATTAGAAGTTTTAGTCAAAAAAGTTATTTTTTAGTTTGCCGTGTAAATATTGACGCTTTGGAAAATCAGTTTAAGAATGAGAAACTTTGTTTTGCTGGTGGAATGCAGGCAACATTTTTAATTTATTAGTTTTCGTAACCTGCTAAATTGCGGTTTATTTATTTCATCTTTGCAGGTATGTTGTTACATCGCTTTGGTGTCGGGTGCATGTCAGGTGCACCTTCCACGCGCGGGCAAGTTACAGTCATGAATTTACGGGCTGCTCCCTTTCGGTCTTCGACCTGAATCCTGTCAAAATACCACCATAAAATAGTAAGGTGGAAGCAAAAAGGCCGAGGAACTACTGTAGGCTGGATAAAAATCAGGTAAATACAGCGCTTGCGCAGCCTCGATTTTAAAAGGCTAATTTTTCCAATCTAATAAGCTTGCGTTCCGTACAAAATATAACAGTGGTAATTGGCCATGTCCGAAAATGTAATTTTGTGGGCAAAGATATAAACATGTATTAAATTATTACCGAGCCTAAATCTTAACCGTGATATTAGCCTGCGAACAGGCTCTCAAGCTGAATTGAGAGCCTGGATCGATGACTAATGAATTTGAATATCTGCCCCGTAACGTTCGTTTTTCCAAATATGGAATGTCTATCCTTATATGGTGTTGTTTACAACTTTCGTGCAAACTAAATTTAGACCGTGCAAACTAAATTTAGACCGTACAGTTTATATACTGTTTTTCGAAATATAAGATATTCAAGCAAAAGTTCAAATGTTTTAAATACTGTTTTCGCAAAACAGAACATTTCGTGCCTTGAGATAAGACGGCCAAGACCAATTTGATCAGTTAATGTGTTTTTTATGCATAGTGCTGCTTCAGCAGTTGAAACATATAAATTATAGCATCAGACCAATGAGAATTTCGCGTCACGATTTGAGACGCAGATATTCAAATTCATTAGTCATCGATGCAGGCTCTCAATTCAGCTTGAGAGCCTGTTCGCAGGCTACCGTGATATTAGTAACTGTAACTCGTAGTCGTAAACCCTAATCAGTTCAACTAAGCTAACATGAAGTTCTGGTTACAATTATTAAATTCAACATGGCGGCAAAATATGATGGAGAAAATTTGAACGATTTTAGAGAGATTTCAGACCAAAGTAAAACAGAGGAAATGAACCAAATGTTTTGCAGAATAATAAACAAAACTGATGTTAATATAAAAAGTCAACAGCGCACAGATACGGATCTTTCAGATGAACAAAAAATACAAATACTAAAAGACATTTTTGAGCAAAACCCACGCGTATTTCTGACCCGTTTTGGGCAGTGGATTTCAGTTGAAGATCTTCGTTGTTTTTGTGCTGCTTCAGGCAGCGAAGTGGAGTATGCTATTGGTGTTTTAAAGAAGAATTTGAATGCAAAACGCTCAGGTGTTTGTGTAAAGAATAGACGGTATGAGGCATTGCAGAGACTGGAGAAAGACACTAGTTATTTTAGTGAAGATGAAATGCAACAGAGGTGTCCATTGTTATATGAGCAGTACATTGGACAATACGTGACTGACGAAGAGAAATTCAAACAGGATGAGGCAAAGATGAAAGATGAATTCAAGATGTCATCGTTCATTTTTCAACAGATTGATCGTGATTGGTTGAGAAAGAAAGAAATGGAGGAACGAGAGTTGGAGGAATGTATGGAAGAGGAGGAAGATGACGAGAGTGACAGTCACAGTGATAATGAGGGACATGATGAGGATAACAGAGATCATGTTGAGGATGCTGAGGGACATGGTGGGGATACTGTGGGATATGGTAAGGGGATTGAAGGACATGATGGAATATATAACAATATTGGGGGACATAATGGGGTTGATAGTGATATTGAGGGACATGATGGAATACATTGGGATACTAAGGAATAATTTATAGATATTGAGGGATGCAATATAATACATAGCAATATAGGAATGTGATGGGATATATAGGAATAGTAAGGGATGTAATGGGTACATGGGGATATTGAGGGATGTAATGGGATACATGCCAGAGATGGACAAAATGATGGTAGGGTCATGGGGGAGGGGATTATAAGGATAACCTGGGATGTGAATGGGATGGAAGAGAAATCATATAAGTTTTTGTGTTTACAGTACCTCATCCAATCCAAAAGTTTTTTCTATAAATGTTATTTAGATGTGACAAATATAAATTCTGAAGATAAACTGAAACTCCGTGAAGAATTTCTAAACCTCATGAGACAGAGATTCTTGGAAGGCTTGGATGAGGAATTTGATTACACAAAAGTTGATACAAGTGATGAATATGACAATCTGGAGATATTAGGCCAGGATGAACAGGACAAATATTTTGACGAAGAACCAGAGGTGATTAATGGGGTTGTTAGTAACGAGGTCATTAGTATTAATGAGGAACAGATGTTGACTGACTCAAGTGAGGAAGATGATTACTTAAGTGACAAAATTTTAGAAAAATGTTGTGCTTCAAAGAGGTAGAATGTGTAAATTTAGTGAATATTGCTTGCCACATAGTAATGGACCGACCACTCAATCACAGCAAGTTGAAGTTTCTTCCTGTTTGGGCCACTGATCTCATTAGTCATAGTGTTTGGGCCACTGATCTCATTAGTCATAGTGTTTGGGCCACTGATCTCATTAGTCATAGTGTTTGGGCCACTGATCTCATTAGTCATAGTGTTTGGGCCACTGATCTCATTAGTCATAGTGTTTGGGCCACTGATCTCGTAGTGTTTGGGCCACTGATCTCGTAGTGTTTGGGCCACTGATTTGGGCTAGTACAGGTAAATTTCTAACAACAAGCAGACCTATAGCACACATATCTCAAAGTACTTCTCATTTATTAAAAAATATTTACAGTTTTTCATACATCTATGCATGTTATAAATACCGGTATGCATGTTGTAGCATACATTCTCACAATCAATATCTGTACATTACAACTGTTCACTTCTTTGATGTGGCATGGACATTGTTTCAGTAGAGGCAATTTCCTGTAGTCAAGAGAATATATATTAACCTGTTGTTAACTGTATTTGTACATTTACTAACAAACTCTTTGGAGTACCTGAAAACAACTTACAGTTAATATTATTGCGATGTTGTTCAGGATGAAACATATATGAGGCCATGTCAGGCTCCTCAGGTTCTGGTGTTAACCAATCTTTAGGAAGGCAGTTGTATACCCAAGGAAGACGAGAACCTATGTTTGCTATTCTGTTGACCCAAGCAGGAATATCTTTGCCACACAATAACTAAAAAGAAGATTAATGATTCATCCAGAACATTTTAGTAAACAAGGGGAAAGTGTATTAAGGATTCACCCACTGAGTCGCATTGCACCCTGATGTGCCCCACTTTATTATTTTACTCTGTCCGATGCCAGACAATTTTACTCGTCAAGGGGAGAGTGTTGGAGCTTAATGGGTTAACCAGACTATCTGCCCACGTCTCCTGTTAAAACGTGCACACCCTCCTTTATTATTTTATTCTGTCTAGTAGCAGATGATTTTACTCATCAAGAGATTTCTCTTGTCAGTATAATTACCTTTGAAAATTCTGATGAAAAGTGATTGCAGTTTCTGTTGACATAAAATTAATAACAGAAAGTTTATAAATTTTATATACAAGAGGTTGTTCATAATTATCAACATTTACAGATGTGTACATTGTCAACTACCTTGTTACTAAGTGATAAGATAATCCTGTAAAATGAACTCCTAAATCTTGGATGATTGCATTAATATCTTCTTCAGTAAGGTCTGTTTCTCCTAAATATATAGATTCCCTGAAAAGTAATTGTATATCACGATCAAGTAAACAATATTTTAGGGCAGTGCATGGATGTATCTAGCTTGATCTATATGTGTCAGTAGGTGGGTGCAAACAACCATGGAGCAGGAACGTGAGCCATGATATCAGTGGCTGGAGCGTAGCCAGCCTCAAACAAGTTGGAGGGGGGTGTCTAATTGTCCATCCATCTAGGGGCATGGTCCCCCAGAACATTTTTCTATTTTTAGTGTCTGTGAAACACTATTTCATGTATTTTAGATAATGTTTTATGATAATCTGAAAACCACAGATTTGGTTATTATATGTCACAGATGAAAACATTAAGATGTTACACCCTCCCCATTAGGGGTGCACCGGAACCAGTTTTTTATGTTCCGGCCGGAACCGGATTCGAAACTAATTTATTAAGCCATATATAGTCATATGTTACTTTGTCCGCTGCCAGACAGGCAGACACTTCAAGTCATGAAAGGGGAGAGCTCGCAAATGTTAGAATAAAAAGATTGACAAGCGTTAAACGTCATAACGAAGTGTTAATAGTGTACATTTCCGTTGCGTAGTCCAAATTTCTTCCTACTGTGACCTTTTGTTAGACACAAAACGTTTGATATTCTATCTCTCTGAAAACGACAGAGTTCCGGTTCCGGCCATGCTTTTTTTACTAGTTCTGGCCGGAACCGGAACTCTAAAAAATCGGGGTTCCGGCCGGAACTGAGTTCCGGTGCACCCCTAATCCTCCATCCTAGTTTCTCCTCAGTTTTAGAGTTAATTTCAGTTAACAATTATAAAGTTGGTCCTGAAGAAAAGTGGGGGTCCGGGCTCCCATTAGTGGGAGGTACTGCCATGTTCTGTGGGTGCAGCACTAGGTGACAACCAAGCTGGTAGCCAAGGCATCATAGGTTTAACCAAGTGCTCTTTGCTTGATGAGTTAAATTGTCTGGCATTACAATGAGTAAAATAATAAATGCAACTCAATGGGTTAAGCTTGAACTTGATTACCTAAATTTAAAAGATTCACTTCCCAGAAATGAGCATCCTTTTGGTTCCAGGTCGACCAGTCCAGATGAAGTTAATTCATGACCAATAAATGCAAATTCTAGAAAATTTATGGTCCAATTTAAGCATTTCATTTCAGGAAGATTAATATGTCTAATATATCAAGTATGTTTCTGATATCATACCTCTACCATGGACTTCAACGGCTGAATGGTAAATGCCAACACCCAGTTTTGAAGTATATTCATTTGTCCAGTGCTATAATATGTAGAATTTATCATAATCTTATGATAATTTAATTGATTAATTTAAAACACTTTCCTTTTGACAAGTAAAATTGTCTAAGATGCTGGGTAAAACAACATAGTATATGGTGCATTTAGGGACTGCACATGCCTTCAATGGCTAAGAAAGGATTATGGGCAGATAGTCGGGTTATTCTTTAATGCCAAGAGTCTCCCCTTGACAAGTAAAATTGTCTGGCATTAGGGCACATAATTTGTAATGAGTTCTAAAGGTCACAGAAAAGATATTTTGTTTTCTCGATGGTTCTAAAATAAAACCAATTTATTTGCCAATTTGCAGTGTGACAATTGTGATTACCAAAATTATAAAGTGCTTTATTGTGAACATGTGTAACACTACAATATAAACATTAAGTTTGTTAATTATTAATTGCATACAAAATCATTGAAAATCATTGAAAGATGCTTACAATTAAACTATATACGATAGTATGAATAGAAAATTGTAAACAAAAATAATCTTACCATATCGTAGACGTTGAGAAACACAGAATACGGCGGCATTTCCGTAGATTGTATGGAACAACAAATCAAAAACGGTATTGTCGCAAACGCAAGCAAAGATATTAAAATAGGACGCTGTTTCGCAATCTTCACCTCCGATTTTGAGCCATTTAATCCATTTGTAAACTGATTTAGCTGAAATTTATTTCTTCAGATGTTGTATTAAGCTTTTCTAAGTATTAATTTCGGTATAATGATCTTATGTTTCAACAGGAAGAAGATTTAAAAACGAAATTAAAATCAAATGTTCACACTTCACAATTGCAACGCACAGAGAATACTGTTTACTTCCGGTTTCGCGCTGTAGTATTTCCGGTAACGCGTGGCTGGTTTCCATTGTTTCCGGTAGCCTGGGGGGGGGACAAAAGAAAAAAATCGTGGTCGACAAAAGAAAAAAATCGTGCAAGGAGAAAAGCAAAGAAAAATAACTCTAATTAGTATAATTACATAGGCCTGGGTTAGGTGATTATTGACATTGCTCCACGCTGATTGGTTGCCGTTGAGGTGATTATAACACGATAGTCAATTATTTAAGCAATTTTCGAAATGGCGGCCGAAGCCGTTTTGTCAATTTAATGACGAAGAGATGTGTATTTTTTTATTTCTTTTCCAAATAATCACCTATGAAATTATACTAAAACAATTATTCACCTCGGGCTTGGTGATTATCGTGAATAAAAACCTCGACTTCGGCGAATAATTGTTAAATAATCACTTTGATAACTGGAGATTGACCACCATCACATGATAATATGTATTCTCTATCATAGCATTAGCATATACAGCAATAATACTGTGAATTAATAATATCAAATATGTTCAATAATATCCATGTACAATAATAATTCAATAGCAATGAAATTGGGAAAACATCAGAACAAAGAAGGTAGTTGAAAGATTACCAAGAATAAGCTATATGTGTAAAAGTACTAGCCCAGTTGAAACGTCAAACTTTTCGTGTACAGAAACCTAATGAGAACGAGCTCAAACAACGAGTTTGGTGGTGGGGTGGGAGTGGGGTAGTACTGCACCCCTCCGCTATTTATTTATTTAGCTCGACGTTTCAACTAGGCCTAAACGTAACCTGACAACCAACCGTTCATTTTCAATTTAACCAAACACGAGTTTCTTGACAGAACTAAATAAAATAAATAGAAAACAGTAGTACTGTGTAACACAGCCCCTGTAGTGAACGATGTGAATGGGAAATGAAAGAAGGAAAACAAGATAATTACCACGTACCTAAAGACTCGCTGTATACTACTAGATCCTCGTTCTTCGACGGCTGTTTGAAAGGAAAAAATATGAAATGGCAGTTGAAAATTAAGTGGCAGTAGGCGTAGCTTCAGGGGTGGAAAAAATAGGCGAGCACAGGAATTGTCAAACAGCTGCAGGAAATTCGTTTGAATGAAGATTTGCTGTTGAAAATTTGAAGGAAACCTTAACAGCCATGTTCCACTATGGGCGCAACAACGTATGGTTGACAGACATTATTCCTGGAATTTAAAACCATGGTCAGCTAGGGCAGTATGTGTTTATGCACATGCAGATTTAGCACAAAAATACTCTGTTGGTCTGCAGGAAATTTTTGTCTCCAGGTTTTTTCCTGCCCTTCAGAAAACAAAGCTTTTAAATTGAGTCACAGACAAGATTTCTGAAACAATTTCCAAAGTTTCTAAACAAGCTATTGGAAAGTTTGCTTTCAAGATTTGGCGGTAACCCAGGATTAAGCTAAATGGGTACAAGATTCCTAAATAAGCGAGATATTCTTCACCAAAAGAATAAATTCCTGGCGGACAGTCTAAAGAACTGCCCATGTCCGAGCGATGCAAAAGAAAATTTGTCCAAAAGATCGAACAACCTAGTCCCTCACCAGGTTTTTCTTCATCAGGAGTTGCTAAGTGTTGAAATCGTAATAATTCTTGAAGATCTTGTTCTTGTACCTCATGACGATTCGTATCTAAATATTCTGTCACTTGAGTAAATAAAAAATAACAATGTTGATTTGCAACAACTGTTAGGCAATGTACTACTTAATAGTACATGTACAGTTTGGGTGGTTTAAGCCCTGATCAAGTGAGGATAGGAATTGACGAGAGTTGCAGTTCTCGCTCGCGTTTCACCGCAAACTGTCATTCATTCTCCTGTTGCAATAGACCTTATGCATAATGACGTCACAAGGCTTGATGCCCGCGAGGAATGCTGGTCTTAGTAGCCATCGCCCGGGAAAATTAAACAATTCAAAATGGCCACTATCGAAATATTCCCGGGCGATGACTACTAAGACCAGCATTCCTTACGGGCATCAAGCCTTGTGACGTCATTATGCATAAGGTCTATTTCAATTCGATTCCATCAATATCCAGTCAACTCGCATACAACTCTATGATGTATTTGTTTTCGGGAAGAGGTTATTTCGCTGGCCTCAGAGTGACAAAACGTAACAAAGCAACGGTTTTACTAACACTAACCCTATTCCAAACACCAACTCTAACCTAACCCTAATCCTAACCTAACCCTACTCCAAGTTTGTTTCTAAACCAATCTTGAAGAAAAATTTTTTTGACGAAATGTCATTCTGAGGTCAGCGAAATAAGTTCTTCCTTGTTTTCGTTTGACTCCATTTTAACCGCAGGAGTTTCTCATGCGAACTTTCGCTTACAAGCTCTCATCCTCTTTTGAGCAGCGCTTGAAAGAATTATTACCTGAATAATTCTTTCTCTTCGGTTCCGCCTGGAATGTAACAAAACAGAACTTTATTACAAAATTGAAACATTAGAATATCTTCTCATCTACAGCCTGGTTCACATAAAATCGTTAAACAGTCGCAGACATGTGCCGAATTTTTATATGAACGATCTGCGACGGATCGGGAAAGTTGAATCAAGTTCAACTTTCCCGATCCGTCGCCGATCCGGTCTCAGACAGTCTGCGCGAATCTGCATTTGTGTTCAAATAAAAATTCGGCACATGTCTGCGACTGCTTAACGATTTTATGTGAACCAGGCTTACGTTTCATTACAATATACGTTAGATGTCGAAAACGGGCTTAAACGATCCATAGTAGATACGTTTTTTTTAGTTTTAGAGCTACCCAAGAGCAGTTGTGAAAAATGTGCAACTATATGCATGGTCCCTCTGGCAGGAGTCGAACCTGTGACCCTGCGGTACCGCGCTCTAACCAACTGAGACCAGTTCTATGAATGCTGGATAGCACTATACACCGGATTTCAAGCTTTGTTAAACCAGTCGTTGATTGGTATAACTCGTATTAAAGTTTAGTATTTATAAGTGAAATGTTTTTTATACTTCTTGTGTCGTCTATATCAGTAATTTCACAGTTTTTCAAGCATTTTACAATGGTTGAAAAAGTCACTATATCCAGTGGATAGCGCTATCCGGCCTTCGAACAACCGGCCCCAGAGCCGCAGATTTCGTAATATTCTCGAACGGTCTTGTACCAGTGTAGCGACGATCACAAGACAGCTGTGGATAGAGAGGGATACAACGACCTGAAAAATATATCCACAGAATTTCGAATATTTTTCCGGTGGTTGTATCCAGGGACGCCGGAACTATGTGAAGGCAAGGGGGGCAGATTTTCGTGAAAGGGCACTTTTGTATTGATATATACTAAGAAATGTTTGCAAAACATCGTAAGTTGAACTTCGCCTAATCGTGTTTTCTATTTATTGGATGATAGGGGTGTGAGGGGGTTCTCCGCCAAGCAACTGTGCTATTCTTGAAGCTCGATGACTGCATTTATTGCGTTTTCTGAAGCAAATTCGTAAAAGAATTGCACTGACAAATCGCTACCATTCGCTAATTGCCCTGCATACAATTTCTGACAATTCGCTATTTGTCCTATTTCGCAAAGGCAATCCTTTAAATTGAAAGGGCACCTTTGCCCCCCTTGCCCCTCCTGGTAAAGGGCAACGGGGGCGGCTGCCCCTCCTGCCCCCCAGTTCCGGCGTCCCTGGTTGTATCTCGCCCAATGCGCAGTTGTCTTAATTTCGTGACAAGCCTTTTATATACGGTTGTTTCTACCTCATCCAGTACTTCAGCGTGTCTCTTCCTTGTCTGACGTATGGCTGCAGATGCACGTATAAGTTTGTTAGGTTTACATGACTTTTCTTCTTTCATGTCTTGTTTTCTAGTTTCGGGTTGCGAGCCGGCTACTTCATCTCCTGCAGTCGAATATACCTCGTCGTCTTCACTACTGCTTGACAATCTTTCTGGACTGAGGTTTTCAGGACTCGAGACATCGCAAAGCTGTATGCCATCCAGGATTGAAACGGACTATAGATGAGAAACATATATACTACTCATGTAGGGAAGTTACTGAAGCAGATAAATTAAGCTATAGCTACATAAAGCCCTGGTGAAATGAGAATGAGAGTTGAGAAAGTAGAGTTTGCACGAGAGTTTTCTCAACACTCATGTCCCGGTCAAATCCGTCAAATGAGCCACCAAAATCTTGCCTCTTACTGAAATCATTTATTTGAAAAACAATAAAATTGATAAGCCTGAGGCATGGAACCTGATTGTCTTCGCTTTCTGATTCATCATATTCTAGACAACGAAAGGACATTGAAGAATTATTTCCATGGTAACATGTTTAACGGAGACACAAGGTAACGTACTCTATTTTTTGTAACGGGGCAGGATGAAACCATGAAAGGAAGAATCTGACGCCGTCAGATTCTGGATTTCAAGAGGGCGTATGTGGGACATAGGATGAGAAACTCCACGGAAACCCGATGCTGGATTGATGATAGTGAAGAAACGTAAAGACTAAAGGACGTTGGCGACAAAAAAAATTATTGGCTTATCTAATCTTACTGGACTACCTAACCATGAGAATATTGTTTTCGTCTCAAGCATTTGTTCCCGCAAGTAAAATCGAAGGAAAATTAAGAATCCTATAGTATGGACCGTCACCGTCATTGAATGAAGTTAGAGCAGTTTTAGTGCGGCGTGCCGTGTATACAGTATAGATCCATTGCACATGACGTCACAGCGCCGGTGACGATGCATCTGGAGGACAAATTAGCAATCTATGCATAACATAACTTTTGTAAACAAAGCAAATTTTTTAAAAGTTTATAATAATTTTGTATTAAAACGGTTAATTGTTGCGCTGTATGTGGTTGTTGTACCGGAACAGATATTGTTAGGGAGCTTCTGGAGGACACTCTAAGGATTTGTGACGTCAGTGCAATGGGTCTATATAGTTGGGCGTGTCGTAATGCGCGCTAAAGCGGAGAGAACGGAATGAATCATTTAAAGGTTTTTAAGGAAGAAATAATTTTGTTTGTGTTATAACTTTGTATGAAAATAACTCACCTTTATCCACAGTTGAGTTTGGAGGTAATTGCTTGTTGTTAGGCTGAGCAAAGATTTGTATTTGGTCGGTGTTTGTAGCTGTTGTGGATGGTTTGTCACCGTGTTTCTCACCAGTCTTCTTTTGGGCTTTCATTTCATTGATGGTTCTAGCGCCCTCCTGAGGTTTATTCCCTTGATCTGTTTGACGATGGTATGTAGTCTGTTTGGTATTGTTTTCAACTGGTGTACCACTGTTCTCACATTGTTTCCTATTTTCAAGGTGATGTTTTTTTGACAATGCAAGTTTTGGCTCAATGTAGAAATAATGTACATATGGACAAGTTTTGAGTGGTGCTTTATTTCTGTAAAATTGTAATATGTGTGCAATCTCCCACTTTTTCCGATCTAATCAAACAGTTAAAGTAAATATATACAGTATGATGTTACTGGTGCAGCTTAATTTGCAAAGGATTAGAGAGGATTGGGAGGTCATGTTGGTGGCACACTATACACCCGTTTCTGGGTAGAAATTCCTTTGAAATCTTAACATGAGTACGAGGCTAGTTGGGCCAATTTATATGCACATAAAAGAATTTTTAATCGGCAGCCATTTATGAAAAAGGTGTATAGTGGTTGGTGCATGGGCCATTTCACCTCTGGGGCTTCATTCCTGCAATATGCAGTTGCCTGCAAGATGAGGAGATAGACAAGGGTGGGGAATAGACAAGGGTGGGGATGGGTAGGGGACATACAAGCGTGGGGATGGGACCCATCAGGAACAGAGAACCATGGGGAGGGGGACAGAGAAGGGTGCAGATAGAGGTGGGGGACAGACAAGGATGGGGATAGAGGTCAGACAGGGATGGGGGGACAGACAAGGGTGGGGTTGTGGGTGGAGATAGGAAGACAGACTGGGACAGTCCCACACTTTTTGGAATGGATTGTTGATCTTGGTTGACTGATCACTGATTACTTTCACCTTGCCACCGTAATGCATGTAAGAAGAGTAGCTGTGTCAAGTTTGACCAGGTTTTCTCTGGATATTCTGTTGTTTCCTTCTGTAATAACACTGCATGGACCAATAGGGGATCAATGTCTCTAATACTGATTACTAAACCTCTAAAGAAAACAGTTTCAAACCAATAGAACTATGCAGAATATGTTATTAATTAATGAGTTATATACTATAAAGTCCTCCTAGTGAGTCATCAGTGATGTAGCTTAACTTATAGCTTGCATGCTGATTATAATTTGGTCTAAAAGGATACAAGGATAAACAGTTAAGTTGTTAGTCCTGATTGGTTGTGGGTCATCTTCAGATGTCAGCAATACTATCATTATTTTCTGAGAATACAATACAATCAATTGATGGTTTTCAAAAAATTCAAAGATATGCTTAAATTCATTGATGTACCTGACAATCAGTTATATTTTATCAGCAGTAAATGGATGGTGAACTGAACTTATAATTGGTCACTCTGGAAATGATCCAATCTTGGGGAGGTGAAGGTGTTCGGCCCACCTCTCTTGGGAAAGTTATAACCCTATTTTGTGGGGTGGGGTAAGGTGATGGCATATGTACCCCATATAACTAGATTTTTTCAAATATTCTGTTGTCTGGTGACATATCAAACAACTTACTTCAATTTCTTCTTGATGTTTGGGATTTGAGCAAAATTCTTCGTAACTATATATAAAGTTATCAGTATAATTGAATTTTGTATGTTATTGTAAAAGATTCAATTTTCACTAAAACATAGAATATACTACCTCTTTTCATTTCTGTTTGGCTGCTTAACCAAATGAATTTTAATTTTGAATATTGTATTATCAATAGTGACCAATCTTTCATCTGTTTTTGGAAGTGCAAATTTCTCCAGTAACATAATAAAAAATAATATTTCATATGCAGAAAATCACACTTTTCATTCAAATGAATTTTACAAAACTTTCCTTTGACACATTAATGTACAATTCAATATTAATTTTCAATGTTTTTTACAAAAGTTTCATGTTGTTTTTTCACTTTTTTGTTTTCAGTTTTTTCCAAAAAAATTGCTTATACGGCTTTGTTCCCGGCGTATTTCCCCTACTTGAGCGAGCTTCCACATTAAAAATATTTGTGAAATAAACTCGGAAATATAAACACATTTCTGGTATTCTGGATTTTAGAAAACGGCATGGATATAATGGTCTACAGAAAATGAGACACAGAAAATTTCTATAAAAGTTTTCTTGGCAATTTGTTGTTGCCTGGCGAAGAATTTTTCACAAAATAAAACAAAATACAAGCAACTTGTCTTGACCTCGGGTAAAAAGCCTTAGGCACTTTCTCGTATGAGATTCCAAAATTCAAAATGGAGGATTTTATTTGTGCAATAAAGACATTATGTGCAGATAAAAACAACCAACAACTCTCGGAATTATTAAACAAGAACACAGATCAATTGCTGCAGAATGCCACGAATATCGACCAAGTCGTTGGCGCGTTAGACCCCGAGCAACATTCATTAGCTTTCCTTGCTCTGTTGTAAGTTCCAAAATTTCACAAAACACAGTTTATAATATATTAAATATTTTAATTTCTAAATTTCAATGTACAAATTATTGTTTATATAGGAAATTGAAATTACTGTTTTAACAAATTAAATGAAATCACTCAATTTTATTATTTTCCGATACTGAGTAATTATTTTATTTTTCTCACTGGGATAACAAACAATATGCCGGACTGCCAATATAAGCAGCGGCAACGCTACGCCAACATCCCACCCTGACTCATTCTTCCGACTCTCACCCACGCCAGGCGTACGAGTTAATAGAACTTTATGCAAAAAACCGTTTGATGTATTTATTGGTAATTATGCGCCGCCAAGTTAAAAACAGCGTATGCGGCCGCCAGGAAAGATTAGTACGTCAAGGCTTACTGTAACTCTACGCCGAACATCTTCAGATTAGACTACACCGAATGCACCCTGGACTCTGCAAACAGTTGCCAATACATTTGTTGTGGTATATGCAATTGTTTTTCTAGGTCGTTGAAAGTTACTTTCCCTAACCCTGGAGACTTTGAATTACTCTACATGCAGATTCAACAATGTGTAAATATGTGCCCTGCAGAACAAATACAACTGCTCAAAGTTCAATGTAAGTTTTTACTAGGTGTTTGGAGTCCCTCATAAAACACCTGGTATGAACTAGACCATACCCAATCTTTTTTCATTTCAGTGTGTCAATTATGTCATTATCTAACATCTCAACTACTTGAGAAAAAACAGGTAATCTCGTTTGTGATTGGTGACACAAACTTCGGCCTTGATAATTCTCAATATCATACTCAATCTCATTCAATAATTGTTTATTATCTTTGAGTACATTTGGACTGAATTGGACATGCTCATTGTTTCTTTACTTTCTATGACAAACATATATCAACATATATTCTGTTGTATTTAGCCATTAAAAGGAATCAAAATCCTTGCAATGGCCATCACCAAGCTACAGACATCTCCACTACAGCTCACCTCTGTTCATGCAGATTTAATGCAGGTAGGCAATTTTTAGTATTGGAAAAAAACAATTAAACTGTCAGCAAACAGACAGACAAACAGATGAAAGAAAAAGACAGACAGAACAGATGAACAGACAAACAGAAGAATGAGCAGACAGACAGATGAACAGACAGACAGACAGACAGACAGACAGACAGACAGACAGACAGACAGACAGACAGACAGAAGAACGAGCAGACAGGCAGATGAACAGACAAAACAGACAGACAGAAGAATGAGCAGACAGACAGATGAACAGACAGACAGACAGAAGAATGAGCAGACAGACAGACAGACAGACAGACAGACAGACAGACAGACAGACAGACAGACAGACAGACAGAGAAGCAAGGGATGCACAGGCTAACATACAGACAGACTCCAGACAGATAGGCAGACAAACAGACAGATAGACTTACAAACAGACAGACAGATAGACTTACAAACAGACAGACAGACAGACAGGCAAACAGACAGACAGACAGACAGACAGACAGACAGACAGACAGACAGACAGACAGACAGACAGACAGACAGACAGACAGACAGACAGACAGACAGACAGACAGACAGACAGACAGACAGACAGACAGACAGACAGACAGACAGATAGACAGATAGACTTACAAACAGACAGACAGACAAGACAGACAGACAGACAGACAGACAGACAGACAGACAGACAGACAGACAGACAGACAGACAGACAGACAGACAGACAGACAGACAGACAGACAGACTTACAAACAGACAGACATTCAAGGCTTATCAAGTAATCATTTGGGCATTCTTATTTGACAGCTTTGTCTGGTTGCAAAGTGTTTTAAGCCTGCACTGCCTTTCCTTGAAGAAGACATTGCTGAGATTATAAAAGAGGTATGTCTTCAAGATAGTTTAATTAATTCAAGTTACTACTAGCATAATCTACAATCATGTGTTTAGTCTTCACAGGACCCTCCGAGTGATGTCAGACAGTTTCTTCTTTATTACTACTATGGTGGCATGATATACACAGCTTTGAAGAACTTTGACAGGGCTTTGTTCTTTTATGAAATAGTAAGAATTTACACTAAATATCACTGTGCATTATGGTTTTATTTTGAGAGAAACATCATGCTCCTTGCCAAATATTGTGTATTTATATTTAGGCTATCACAACACCAGCAAGTGATATCAGTTATATTATGTTAAATGCTTACAAAAAGTTCATACTGGTTTCCCTCTTGGAACATGCTAAGGTAGGTATGGTCTTCTGAAATGATTTAATTTTCCTATTTTATTGCCTGGAAGAACACCTGCATATTTTTATATTACAAATGTATGATATAATGCTCTGTATGCTGTTGTTTAGATTATTAATCTTCCTAAGTACACCTCACATGTTGTCATGAAATATCTCAAGGTGAATAACCAAGTACCATCATTACTGATATTGCTACCAGTATCAAAACTACCATCATTATAAATACCATCATACCAGTAGCATACTACTATCATGATGGTCAGTATCATGCACTGCTACCATCACCACCACTGCCATCACCACCATCTTTACACTGTCTCTATCACTACCTTCACCATTACCTTGACTGCCATCATTATCACTATTACCACCACTACCATCCCCGCATTCACCACAACCAATACACCATGACAACTAACACATACTTAATTATACTAAATTATTCATGTAATCAGGCAGTTATCAATTCTGGCCACTACCATCATCATTTTTAGCATTGCATTAACCATTTCACATCAGTAAAGACTTGGTAATCCATATTTAATCATTCTGTTTATTGTCTAGCCCCTCAGTTCACCTTATCATGATCTAGCTGATGCGTATGCCTCGAGAAATCCATCTTCAGTTAACGCTGTTGTCGCCAAGAATGTTGACCATTTTACGGCGGTTTGTAAAATGAACTTCTATTGTATGCATTATAACAGTGTTTCTGATAGACCAGTTACATGTGCAGCAATGCTAAAACAAGATATTAAGTAGTAAGCTAAAAATAGTTGTTTTAAAATATCTCTCACAGGACACAAATATGGGCCTTGTAAAGCAGGTGATGACGTCATTATATAAAGTCACAATTAAAAGACTAACGAAGGTACTTGAGTCACTAATATTTTAATACCACTACTTGTATCTTGTACTTAGTTTGAAATTAAAGAAAAGATGTGTTTGGTGATATTTTTAGACATTTCTAACATTGTCATTAAACGATATGGCTAACCGCGTGGGACTGGACAATACTGAGGAAGCTGAACGATATGTATTACAAATGGTAATCTTTTCGCTATATAGCTAGGTTTTTACATCAGTTTAATTTTAGGGCTTGTTTCAATTGTTACAGCTCATTTCCAATTCAAATTTAATTCCAAATCCAGATTAAATTTCAAATCCAGATTTAATTTCAAATTCAAACGGTATGTACGTAATATGAGGGTCTAGATGGGGGTCTGAAAATCAGTAAACGGTAAAAATTTTGGTATTTTAACGGTAACAATAAGTAACATTTTGGTATTTTAACAGTAAATCTTTGAAAAGTGTTCTGAAACGCTAAACAGTATTTTTTCCTCACGATTCACGCTAAATTTTTAGTGTTTTCACGATTGACAGTAACTGAAATTGAGTGAATCACGACTCACAATATATCCCATCAACACCCTCATATTACCAAATTGTGAGACTGGCTAGGTTTACAAAGAGAATCTTGATTGCAACTCGAATATGGTTTATGAGGCTTTAGATGGGGGCCGGTATGAAAATCAGTAAACGGTAAAATTTTTGGTATTTTAACAGTAAATCTTTGAAAAGTGTTCTGAAACGATAAACAGTATTTTTTCCTCACGCTAATGTAATCACATTAAATTTTTAGTGTTTTCACGACTGACGGTAACCGGAATTGAGTGAATCACGACTCACGATATACCCCATCAACACCCTCTAATATGAACACGTTTTGGGATTCGTTTTCTGAAACAAAAATGATGAATGTTTATGATTCGTTCTTTAGAAATATGATTTCTATAGTTTATTGTCTTTTGTCATCGTAATCAACCAATCACAAAGCATGTGCATATGGGTAGGAACCGACCCAAATTTATTGACGAAAGCCCTTTTGCATATTTTACCTTGATTTTCAGATTGAAGATGGCGAGATCTATGCTTCAATCAACCAAAAAGACGGTATGGTTTCATTTCACAATAACCCAGAGAAATACAATGATCCTAGAATGCTGAAACGACTCGATGACCAAGTGAGTGTCATTCTTCCGCCAAATGAAACTTTTCCATTACAATGAAGCTGAAGGGCTTTTGCTCAGGTTGTTCTAACACAAACCGTGGCAACATATTCTAGAACACTACTTTCAGTCTTACACTGTACACCCTGTGAATCTCCTTTGAGATTGCCTTATTAATCTTACTAGATCCGTGCGTACCAAAGTCTCGACGATAAACTCCACTCTATGGACAGTATGTTAGCTCTCAATCCTCAATATATTAAAAAGGTGAGTTGCTGTTTAAAAATTGTTTACTCGGAACAATAAAGTTATTCTGGTTGCAGCCAGGAAAGCTTTACTTAAACTCATGGATGTTATAAAACATTTATTATTATCAGCTTTCTACACCATATACAGTATACAATTAAAATAAAAAAATCGCCTTTTAGTCCTATTTTAATTGTATATATGGTGTAGAAAGCTGATAATAATAAATGTTTTATAACATCCATGAGGATAACTTAACTATCTCTTACAGTTGACCATCATGTGCTGGGGTACCATTTACAGTCAAACCCTCTTACTGTAGTACAACTCATTTGCTGTATAATGTAAATTTTCATTTCAGACAAATGATATAAGCGGTGGTTTTGACGATGAAGGACTAGGAAAAATGAAAGATGATGGAATACTATGATTGGACAATGACCAGCCATGAACAACCAATCAGGTGAAAGCGCGCCAAACTCTTCAATCGCAATAAAATTGGATTGGCATTAAATTCGAGAGGTTTAAGCAAAATCAGACTTCACTAAGCTATCTACTTTGCTCTACTCAGAACTCTCTGAAAAATATTAATAACAGTTCGAAGGTTAATGTGGTTCAGGTTATATTGTGTCCCGAACCTCAGGCAGAGCGAAGAAACGCAACCTGGGGCCGATTGTCCAAAAGCCGATTAGTTTAACCCTAAGTTAACCTAAAATTCAAAGTAAATTTCCTGATAGCTTTTTTATAAATTTGGAAATATTTCTTCAGAAATCTTGTCTGGATCCGGAGGAGTTTTCTTCTCTGAAGTTTTGAAATAAACAGACGTGCAGAAATACATAAACTAAAACAGCAGGTTCAATTTTAACCCAGGGTTAGCGCTAATAACAACCGGCCCCAGATATATAGAATATGAGACACGAATCTTTTATCAAAGCTAGTTTCCACTCAGGAAAATTATCCGTGGATTGGAACGGACAAGAACGTTCTTCTTTGTTTTGTTGGAACTAATGACTTTAACACAAAGAAAAATTTTCTTGTCCGTTCCAATCCACGGATAATTTTCCTGAGTGGAAACTAGCCCTAAGGGTGTATTAGGAAAATGTACTTAACCAAAACCGTGCGAAAAGTGGCCTGGGACAAGATTGTGTAGCTATTTTGGGAAACGTTCATTGACAACTGTCCGACAGATAATAGTGTATGAATGTGTATGTACGATTAATATTCATATTTTGTACTTGTCGCGTTCAATAATTATATAGTTGTATTTAGTCATCAGAGAAATTTAAGTTTTTGTTTGGATAGATCGAATTTAAGCTTTAAGAATACAACAAGATGGCGGCAATTTTTGTATCTCTTAAAAAATCTTGTTCTCGCATCGCATCATGGGAAACGTGACGTCATATCGTTTCATTGTATACAACCGGGGGCCGGTTGTATAAAAACGTAGTTAGCGCTAACTGCAGTTAAAAAGTAGTTAAAAAGTAGTTAACTTTAATCACGTAGTTAAGCCGGTTGTATAAAAGTGTAGTTAGCCTTAACTGCAGTTAAAAAGTAGTTAAAGTTAACTATACTTTAGGGTATAGTTAACTGTCCAAAATGTAGTTAAAAATGGCGTTTGTATAGGAGTGAACAACATTTTTCAGTTAAACAATAATGAAAAGCAACGTTTACCTGAGATTTTCAATCACTATCTTCCCTGTGAATGTTTCCTAACAATATAAACTCTTCAAACGCTTTGCACAGGACGATTTCTCGAAGACGAAGTATGGTCCATTACACCAAGAAACACTGATATATAATTGCCAAACAGCTATACTTTAGTTTAACGTAGACATCTCAAGGAAAACTGCATTCTTTTATGATTTTTGTGGCGGTCGGATCCTTGTTTTTTGTTTATTTTTCACTGTTTTCTAGTGTTTTGAATAAAATTCCCGCGTATTTGCAAAATACGAGTCCACAATCATGTTGAAAATGTGTGTCAGCGGTCGTTACTCGTTGCTTACTTTATGTAATTTTGTGTTTAAACGCCCCACGCAAGCCCCACGCACAGTTAACTACGTGATTAGTTAACTATCCGACTAACTACGTTTTGTGCAACGCAGTTAAGTCGTGTAGTTAACTAATTACAGTTAAGGATTTAACTACAGTGATTAACGCTAACTACAGTTAGCGCTAACTACGTTTTTATACAACCGGCCCCAGGTGATTGCTAGATAACTTGTTACTTAGTAACTTAACCTGTTAATGTCTTACAAAATCCCAAAATAATGCACCTACAATATGAGTAAAATTACTAAAAAAGAGAGTAGATGCATGTGCTCATAAATTTGGGTAATTTTACTCAAAATGTCGAGTCACTGTTAGTGCATCAAGTTTTTGAGATTCAAACATTTATTTGTGCCAACAATAGTACATAGTTTAAAAGTATATAGTTACATAATTGGACGGATAATCGAAGCACAGGCTATTTGGAATAGCAAACCTGATCTAGCCAAATAGCCCAGGATATATTATTGGATTAATATATGATAGAAGGATGAGCAGATGGTTTTACTAAATATTAGATACAGTATGACTGGCACAAAAAACACGGAGACACAAAAAAAAACCTGCATGAAAGAAAACAAACAAACAAAAATATACATACAGTAAGTCATGTTCTAAAGTCAGTACGAATTTAAGAATGTTGAAGTATTATGTTTCTTGAAATATTTTTTGTTCATTGCTTTAACATTTTCGTTCAGAGTATTCCAAATTTTAGATTTGAGTCCAAGTGTTTTTGCAGTGTGTTGGCAATTAAGGGCTGTGGCTTGTTACATCAAGTGCTAGAAAAATACAACTATATAACATGTGCATAAAAATCTATAGATTTTCACCTCTGCAGTCGTAGTACAAATAATTGCGTGCAGTTTCGACAGTACATTTTAATGTTTAACCCTTTGTGGTTTTTCTTTGCATATTCACTAATAATTACATATTAAACATTACATAATATAAAATCTGTCATCTTTAGCTTTACTTTCGTGCTTTTGACTGAAGTAATTGCTTAGATCTCACAAGCCTTTGTTATACTAGTTAGTCTTGTATAAACCTGGATAATCTGGGGATATTAGCGATGGCCTGGTGTAGCCACCTGGTTTTCTGAAAGGATTCGACCGAATTTACCCATTTTAATAATTCATTCCACCACCTGCATGCATTACCATGTGAATAAATCACAACATATTCCAATTTTTGTTGTGTGAGATTGTAATATAGATATGAAAAGCAAACTAAAGATCGTTAGTAGAGGCGAGATGTGGTTCCATTGGCTAATTTTCGGTGTAATTGTTGGTGAGTTATCAATTCGAGGTAAGTTTGAAAACAGGTGTCATCGTTATGGATATAAAAATGTTTCCAGATCGAAATACAAGCCGAAATTTCTCGTACGCATCCTTAAAATGAACGGCAACTTGATGTACCTCGCCAGTGCAGAGATTTGTTTCTGATAATAGAATGCATGAGACCTAGTTCGTCGACCTTTTCCTGTGCAAATGTCCTCAAACAATGAGTTGAGGTCATTAATTTAAATTGAGCGCGTATATAGTCAAGCTCTGGAACAATTACTGCTGCATTTTTCACTTTTCACTTATTTTACTGGAGTTGAACAGAACTTTTGACTTGTCCATGCCATACAGATGGAGTGCAGGCCTACTGCCGTAAATTATACTCCATGACGTTCAAACAGAGGCGGGTGATGATTGTTTGCAAGACTGTGTTGTTACAATTCATTGTAACGCGTTACAAGCTACTCGTTATATTTGTTGTAATTTTGGCATGTAAACAGATCGAGACAAGTTTACAAACATTTTTGAAAAGAAACGAAAAAGCTTAATCACAAAACAAAGGAACGCATTCCTTTATCAGAGAAAAAATAATAACCTATAAACCAGGACGCAACTTCTATACTTGCCGTAATCATTTTACTTGCTCTGGGCAAGCCTTCTATGCATGTTAAGGCCCTGTCACACTATTGCGTATCGTATAGTAGCGTATGCCAGCGTATGAAAAATATCACTCGTACGCCGGTATACGCTGACATACGCTAGGGGTACGTTAGGCATAGGTTGTATACGTTTCAAGTACGCTGGCAAACGGCGAGGCAGAAAAATTTTTTTAAACATGCTCAAAAATTTTGTGCGTATCGGACGTATGCTTTATACGATAAGCATACTCTAGGCACACGCTGAATACGTTAGAGGTACGCCAAATGTATACGATACTCGTACGCTGGCATTTCAAAGGATTTTTGTGCGTATGAAAATTATTTCATTAATTTTCATACGCTTCTCATACGTTTCTCTCGTACGCTATAGTGTGACAGGGCCTTTATCAAGTAGTGCTCATTGCTTTATATATATAGTGCTCTATTGTATCAATGTCGAGGCAGGTGCCTTGCATGGGACTTATCGTCTCGTTTGCTCCTCTCCTTTTAGGCAATCGAGTAATTTATGCGGTGTTATACCTTTATGGTATAACTTTCTACTTTTATGGTGTAATACTGTGCCTGTGGTCTAATAAAGTTCTTGACATATAAATTGGGTTCCGGTTCGACGTTTGAATTAGGCTTAAATTATTTCTGTTTTAAATTTCATTTTAGGGAAATCAGAATTAACCCAAGGTAAAAACTTTATGTAGTGTGTCATAGTCATGTAATTGTGTATTATATTGTGTTTTATTATACTTACCTTAACTTACATCGCCATTATTATTTTATTTCAGCTACGTGCGATATGGCTCCTTCAGACAAAACAGATTGTGGTCTTCCCGGAGTTACAAGACAACAATGTGAAGCGAGTGACTGCTGTTTTGACGATGCCGTAAGCGGCGTTCCATGGTGTTTCTTGAAGAGTAAGCATACCTTCATTCAACAAAGTTTATTCTAAACTATCCACAGTAGCTGTCATGTACTTATAAGCTCATCCAAACTATATCCCGCTTGAGTTTAGAAGAGATATCAATGATTTGAAGCTAGTTTTCCACTTCAATCGTATCCGGTACCGAAACGAAGCGTATTTCTTTGTTTCCTGAGCGGTAGTGTGGAACTAATGACTTCGATACAAAAGAAAATGCTTCGATACGTTACGATACGGTTCAAGTGGAAAACAGGCTTTACTCTACCTTTCAAATATAGAACTGGTTTAATACACCCTTTCGATAATTACGTCACACATACTTTTTGGTCTTGGAGCCTTGCTCTCATTAGTAAATTACACAAGGTGATTGGCTCACGATTCATGAGAGCGAGGCTCCCAGGCCATATGACGTAATTATCAAAAGGGTGTATTACTACTAATGCGAATAATTTTGTACGTTTTTTCGAACCTAATCCCATAGTTAAACACCAACACGACTACTCTCTCTGTTTTCCAAGATAAACTTCAAAACTTATAGAGCGTTTGCATTCATTCCCCAGGGACCAACTCGACAAAAGCCATGGCGGCCATGTTGGTGTTCCAGACAAAAGAGTCGAATTAAAATTCTTTTGAATCGGAACACCAATATGGCGGCTGTGACGTCATGTGCAAAAGCTCTATATTCATCTGAACTGCATACAAGGCCCACTGCTTTGAAATTCAATAGTTTATTGCATGTTGCGTTGTTAAATGTTCTAGGAGGTCAGGCTGGGACGAATGTCTTGTTCCTTTCTCCTATCACAACTTGTCATGTATTCTTATCGCATCTTTAGTTTGTTATGTAAAGTTTCCTTGCAATCTTGTAAAATTATGCAAATTGTGACGAACAATTTAACTTGTAACAAGGTTCAATCATCTGCTATCCCATATTAAAGTCGTACCGAAACCCACCAATAGAAGTGACACACCAAGACACCTTCATTAATTTTGTAACAATTCTTTCTAGCTGAACGTATTTCGATGATAGATTGTGGATTTGAATACCCAGGTTCATGTGTTTATACGCAAGAAAGAAGTCATGCTGATGTAAAATTTGTAAAAACAAGAGACAAAAGTAAATCACGACTCTCATCTTCTTCAGCTGGGATTACATCAAGTAGTCAAGGTTAGTCACAATATTGTATTGCCGCTCTTTTTGCATACATTACTGATTAACGAACTTAAGCAAGACATAATCTAATACGCGGAGATGTGACAAGAATGCCTTATTCTCGATTTCAAGTCACTTATGAACGCGCGGGTCCCAGCTTCGTTGCGAATTGCGAACTTGCCAATTACGTTTCCAAGTTGGCAAGTTCGAAAATTGGGCGCGAACTTCACAAGGAAGTTCCCAAGTTCATTTCAATGTTTGAACTTCATTTGTAAACAAATGTTCATAGTTCAATTATAGTTATAACCAATTCAATGAAATACAAACGTTCGTGGACCACTGGACCAAGAACTTTCCAGTGAATTGTTAATGCAGTAATTTAACTTGAAGTATGGACATTTGTTTACAATAGAAGTTCAAACATTGAAATGAACTTGTGAATTTTTTTGCGAGGTTCACGCCTAATTTCCGAAGTTGGAAACGTAGGATTTGGAGCCTGTGCGCTAAATAGTGACTTGAAATCGACAATTTATACTTTTGTAGTAACAACGGGAAGAACTATTAACTATATGACGTACTGTTGTAAAACGAAGAAAAAACAAATTGATACTATACTTTTTGTTTGTGGAAACACCACGTTAATAATTTTCCACAAACAAAAAGTATTATATGTTTTTATCGCCATGCAATCCTACAAAGAACTTAAATTGAAACTATTTTAGAGACGAATACTATAGATTAAGCATTGCTGTACTAGATTAAACATTGCTGCAGGAGGTTCGCTATTTATTTCCATGCAAGAGCAGTCAATTCAGTCAATTCCCCAGAAAAATATAGAACTAATAAGTAATAGAGCTATCCAGTGTAAATTAAGTAAGTGTAATTTAGTTTCCTGGCCTGTAGGAATGGATTTTAATGGAGGAACAGTTTAGAATTGATAGATCTATTCAGTATAAATAAAGATAGTTTAGTTTAGTTTAGTTTAGTTTAGTTTAGTTTAGTTTAGTTTACGTTTCCTCCTGTAGTAACACTGGAACAACTAGGGATGGATCTAATGGACCTCTTGGGAGAACAGTTTAGAAGTGATATAGATCTATTCACTATAACTGAAAGAGAGTTTAGACGTTTAGTTTGTGTTTCCTCCTATACATGTAATAAGAACACTGCAGTAATAAGAAATGGTCATTAATGGACCTTTAGGAAGAACAGTTTAGAAGTGATATAGATCTATTCAGTTTAGTTTAGGTTTCCTCCTGTAATAACACTGGAACTACTAAGGATCTAATGAACGTCTGGGGAGAACAGTTTAGAAGTGATAGAGCTCCATGTATGCAATATAAACTTGGTTAGTATATTCGTACTAACACGACAACATCTGTTCAGGCACATGGTACATCTACCTGCAATGCGGATCTGGTACAGACAATGAATATGCATCCCTCTTAAGTCCTGAAGAACAACCAATGTTTAAGAAATGTCTACAGTTCTCCTACAACATGCATGGTCCGGACGTGTTTATATTGAAAGTGTTCATAAAGACAGCCGTTGGGTGGGACGACGCCATTTGGAGACAAAACTCAAACCAAGGACCAAACTGGAAAACAGCCACCGTTCCAATAACGTCCTTTCAGCCTTTTCAGGTTAGATTTAACAAATATAAAACATTTTCCGTGTTGATATACAGTTTTAGTATTTTTGCACAAGTGAACATAACAAACCCTACAAGGTGATTGGTCAAATTTGACGTATTAATCTGTTATATTCACCTACAGGTGAATATAACAAAATCGAAATTTTCAAAATGGCGGCTAGCCGTTTTGTTGAAGTTAGTGATAAGAAATAAGCGAAATTAAAATGAATTCAGACCAGAAAAACACAAAAAAAACTTGTGCAAAAATACTAAAACAATTATTCGCCTCAGCCCTCAGGCTCGGTGATTATCGGGGAATATTTACCTCGACTTCGTCTCGGCGAATATTCCCCGATAATCGAAAAACTCGATAATAGAAAAACTCTATTGTCTCATTTGAAAGAACGTTTAAAATTATCTATCAAATCTTGTTGCACATTTGGACTGAAAACAATGAGCTAGCCGCCATCTTGGATTAATTCTTCACCTTATATATTAACTGTTATTTTGATGACGTCAGGAGTGGGATAGCCTCATAAAATTACTTCTACTTTACTGATTTTATAAACTGATGACTTGAGTAGCGATACGATCTGTTAGAAATAGCTGGGAAAATGGTATAAAAACTGTTTACAACCTTCAGAGCTATTGGACGTCAATGAGCGCCATCTTGGCTTCACTTTTCTCACAGGCCGAATGACTGAAGTTCTTGCTCCAGATATATATAGAGATCTCACTATGGTTGAACAAGACCTAAGCCAAGCCTTGTGCAATGTAAACTGTGTATGACTATACAGGGTGTATCAAAAAAAGCGCAATCCTCGACTGAAATGTAAATTGCTAAACAAATAATAAACGAAAACGTTAAAGTTTACATTCATTTTAAAGCGTAGCCATTCAGCTTTCTAACAGTGGGCTGTTTCTTAAATTTGACTCATTGGTTCGTGGGTAATAATACTTTACGTTATTGCGATTGGAGATTAAAAAAATTAAAACAAAAAAATGTTGCATTTTATAAAATGGATTGTAACAATAAGTATAATTACGGCTTTTCTTCCACTATTTTTAACTCAGTTTGAAACTTCAAATGCGATATAATTTTGGCTTGGGCCATCTAAGCTGACTGACATCAACTTGCTATAATTTCTGTTTACATTACATCGCAATTCGATCACAGTCTGGCTCATGCAGACACCAGAATGTTTTGACGATTTTTAGCATTCGTTTAGGATTTTCAAACAACCTGGTCTCTTTTAAAATACTTTTAATTTGTTCTTACGTGGTTTTCCAGATGTAGTGACGACAACATTAAAGTTTAAAGAAGAAAATTCTAACATTTAAACCGACTAAACAATAACATAGTAAACTTGCATAATTAAACAGCAACTAAAAATGATAGGTTTACTAAATCTTTTCCTGTGCCATTATTACTAGCATTGGAGACAAGGATAATAGTTTGTTTGAAAGAGAAAAGAGCAGGCTTTGAAGTAAGCCTAAAAGCGTTTAATTAACTAGAAATAGTATTTCGAAAGTTATTAAGCACAAAAGATGAATTGCGTTTATTTTGATACACCCTGTATAGTATGACTATATATGATATTCTCACTGACCCTACTGTTCATGTTTTAGATTGTGTTTCAGGCACATGCGGGCGATGCTCCTAATTGTGATATAGGTGTTGATGACATTAAAATGATAGACTGCCCGGATGCAGGTTAGTTCGTTGACGGATATACCTCTAGAACAGTTTAGATAAAACTCATGGAGTGTCTTATACATTGTTATATTAATTTACAGTATGTGAGAAATTATTATGTTAATTTATGTAGTAAAGATATTTTTATTTTACTTCATGTAGTACTCAATGATTCGGATACTCACGAGCCGTGGACACAATGGAAAAAATGTGATCAAAGTTGTGGCGCCAAATATAGGTCACGTGCAAGATTTTGGTTTTCACGTGAAACAAAGCAGCCGTACGATTTCACTTATCACATACGATATACAACCGCAAGTAACACATGCCCAGGTATGTTGCAATATGTATGTATGTATGTTGCAATATGTATGTATGTATTTCATTTCCTTTCCATCCTACAATATGCAGCTGTATGATTTCACCTCGCTTACATGCGAGTAGCGCAGGCTGCATGGGAGTAGCGCAGGCTACATGCGAGTAGCGCGGGTTACATGGGAGTAGCGCAGGATATATGGGAGTAGCGCGGGTTACATGGGAGTGGCGCAGGATATATGGGAGTAGCGCAGGTTACATGCGAGTAGCGCAGGCTGCATGCGAGTAGCGCGGGTTACATGGGAGTAGCGCAGGCTATATGGGAGAAGAGTTTTTCCAATTTGACTCTACCAATCACCTCCTTTTTTCTCTATATACACACGTAAAAACGCACAAGTTGTTACACGTTTGCAAACAAGTTGTTATAAATCTGTTCACAAACTGTAGACAAGTTGTAAAAAGTTTGGAACAAGCTGTTAACAACTTGTAACAAGCTTGATGGCATTATCAGACTTGTTACAAGGTTGTTCTGATACAGTCATAACAACACGAATGTTACAAAGTTGAGCAACCTGCTTACAAATCAAGTTGTAAGCGGGTTGCATGCGACAGTTTTATGCAAAAGTTGTGTTATTGTACTGTAAATTGGCCTTAAAGTTTTTCAGATCCATTATAAATAAAGTTTGCTTCGTTTAGGTGCCCTCCTGTGGTAATACTAGACAAATACGAGGTGGCCCTTACTGGACCTCTAGCTCTGAATTGGTGGAGTTATCGAGTATAAATAAAGTTGATTAATTGTTTTTTTCCTGTTAAGTTTTTTTCCTGTTACCGGACCTCTAGAGAGAACAGTTTAGAACTAGTAGAGCTATACAGTCTAAAAAGAAGTAGCCCCATCCAAAATTTTTAATGTTTTCTTCACAGAGGAAAATCGTTGGTATTTTGACGATTTGAAAGATGGTGAATTCAACGACGAGTATGGCAAGGCTTCTGCTACAGTCGTGTCTGGTGCTATGGAAAGAAACGATGGAGTCTTAACCGTTAAAACTGGGCAGGAAAGCGTAAAGATTACATTTCCATATGATTCTTGCATTTTTGGCGTTAAAGAGTGCGTAGATGGCTTCACATTGTCTTATTGGATAAATTTACAAGACAGTCCAGGTAGTTAGAACTATCACATTGCCGAAATTTGTTTTTCGCTTTGCATGAATAACTTCGTCAAATGGAAATCGCATGAACATTAACTTCGCCTTACCAGGCACCACCCTTTAAATTGAATTCAGTCTTTTAGATTAACGAACTCAACAGTTAACGCACTGAATCTAAAACGACTTACATTATTGCAACCTGTTTTATTTTTCTGCACAGGTGGTTCGAGTATTCTATCCCCGGATAACAGCACGGGCGTAAGAATTACACTAGTTGACTCCGTGACCGCAAATATAGTTATGGACATGAATGATAAGCAATGGAGTATGAACATCAGTATTGCTTCAGACACGTGGACGTACGTCACAATCACGTGGAGTGCATGTCATGGTTTGACTTACTATGAAAATGGTCAGGTGAAAGAACACTTGGGAGTTTTTAAAACTAAGCTTGGAGACAGTAGTCCCGAGCCAGTCGGGAAGAAAAGTCTATTTATTGGCAAATCAGAATCTGCGGATGGCGCTCTTTTCTCAATGATTGAGTTAGTTATTTGGAACGGAATGATATCACCTGCAGATATTAAAGCTCTGTACCTTAAGGGTATGTTGGAATTACATGTAAATCTAAACTAACTTGAAACTTCTTAGATATCTAGTCAGGATCATCTCTTATTGATCCAGTGTTACTACAGGAGGAAACCTGAAATAAACCAACTTTATTTATATGGATAGCTCTATTAGTTCTAACCCGCTAGAGCTTGTTGGTCCTACCTGAAGAAAAGTGTAACTGAGAACACTTTCCAATCGGCGAATAAATGGATATTTCCAATTTCCATACCATGTCTATGCAATAAAATATTTTCTCCTGTTTAAATTAAATTTTTAATGATTTAGTTGACCAAACTGAAAGATTTATGTTGCTAAAAACTGATGACGAAAAGAGATTACAGTGGAAAAAGAGTTATACAGGGACTCCATCCAGTGATACAGGACCAAGCTTCACCTTCCTTCGCACTGAATTTGGTAGGAATACTAAAGACTGACTTCAGAATTAAATAGCGGTCAGAGGTTTGAATTGGGGCCATTGAAATGAATATAACTGTAACGTTACCTTCAGATAAACTGCCTATCTTTTCCTTGAAGCCAAATCTGGACCCCCAATTAAACACGCGTGTCTGGGGACCAAGACACACGTGTTTTTATATCATGATTGACTGATTGCGTGAAAAGACAGGGACTGACCTTCAAGTTTGGTTTCACATTTCCAGTTGGAGGAAGCATTCCAGTTCTATTCATTTCAATGATTGGGATCAGAGTTAGAATTCAGGTTGGTTAGTATTGGGGTTACCCTGGATCAGGGCGTTTCCTGCTTAGCTTCTGTAGCCTGCACTCAGGCGCGATTGCATCCAAGCTTGCCTGTATGCACCAGAAAACTTCAGCACCCAGGGCTAGAATTGGAGTTAAAATTATTCTGTGATCACAGTAGGAATTAATTTTGCATGGGTAAATTCTACGTTTGGAAGGATTTGTAAGAAACGTTTGTGGGAAACTAACTTAGTATTTTAACACTAAATCAGGTCCCTCAAACATTTCTTACAAATCCTTCAAAACTTAGAATTTATCCATGCAAAATTCCTTCTGTGATCACAGAAATTTCGATGGTGTAAACCAGGCTTAATGCTAACTTAAGCTGTTTCTAATCATTATCCTCCATAGATATGGACAATGAAGATCACAAACCGGTCTCGTGTGAGCAAATCAGGTTGATGGATAAAGGTGACGTGGATGGATATTACGTCATTTTCCCGCATGGTGCTTGTGGTGATTCACTGAAAGTGTGGTGTTTTGGTATGAGTGGTTCGTCACCCAGAGAATATATTGACTTAGATCCTGCATTAAATTATGGTTTATTGGCAGGGTTAGACGCACCGTGTGAACAGGCGAATTATCAAGCCCGTGGGAAGAGCTGGTTTAATAAGGTTTGAAACTTTTCGCTGTTTTAAACTGTTTTGTCAATTTGTCCGACTCCCATTCAAATTTTTGCATGCCATGCCACACTATACCATACCATACCATACCATACCATACCATACCATACCATACCATACCATACCATACCATACTATATCATACCACACCATACCATACCATACCATATCATACCATACCATACCATACCATACCATACCATACCATACCATATCATACCATACCATACTATATCATACCACACCATACCATACCATACCATATATCACACCATACCATATCCATACCATACAGTGCCATACCATTTGTCTCATGAGCATACCATACCATACCATGCCATGCCATTTGCTCTCTGAAACAGTTGTCATTTGAAGGGAGTTTGGAAAGTTTTGAAATAAGGAGGGGCATTGGTAAAAGGAGGAGACAATTTTAAAAAAAGAGGCGGTAAGACCCCCTTCCGACCATGAAACAACATCACCATGCACAAATCTTTTGAATTTAGCTTCAGCATACTGCAATGGTGGACTTCAATATTTTTTCTCTTCAGACACGAGTGGTCCCGGACAGTATGAAAGTTGACATTTCGGACGGTAGTTTTACAACATTTGTTGAAAATTCTGTTCCCTACAGCGTTGGCGGCGCCTGTTATAGTGGCACGTACGATGCGACGTGCACTCATTCTGGTTATTTCAATATTAACTTAAAGAATACCACTGTACGGGTGAAACCAACTGTAAACTGGAAGGGTACAGGTTATTGGAATCCGTCGGATTTTCCGAAAATGGTGAACTTTAGAAGATCGCCAGACAGTCGTGAAATTTCAGCGAATTGCGGCGGTCATTGTGGACATTGTGAACCTGACGGGGATTTAATTTTGGAACTGGCTTCGTGTGTCCAGAAGAGTAAGTCATGAAAATTTCATGTTTCCTCGATTCTAACCAGGGCGCTTATATATATAAGCGCCCTGATTCTAACCCCGTCTCCCCGCCGTCATGTCGTGGTCCAATGACGACGAGAGTCGATGAGAGTTACAACTCACGTTCGACTGCCAACTCTCATGGACTCTCATGCACTCTCAATTTTGAACTGGTTCAAATTTTAATGAGAGTTGATAAGAATTTTCGCAGTAATATCCAGTCAATTCTCATCAACTCTCATGCAACTCTTGTTCTCTTTCACCAGGGCTGAGAGTTGAGAAAACTCTTACGCAAACTCTCGCTTCTCAACTCTCATCAACTTTTATGCAACCCTTGTTCTCTTTGACTGGGGCATGAGAATTGAGAAAACTCTCATGCAAACTCTCGCTTCTCAACTCTTGTCAACTCTCATGCAAACTCTCGCTTCTCAACTCTCATCAACTCTCATGCAAACTCTCGCTTCTCAACTCTCATCAACTCTTATGCAAACTCTCGCTTCTCAACTCTCATCAACTCTCATGCAAACTCTCGCTTCTCAACTCTCATCAACTCTCATGCAAACTCTCGCTTCTCAACTCTCATCAACTCTTATGCAAACTCTCGCTTCTCAGCTCTCATCAACTCTCATGCAAACTCTCGCTTCTCAACTCTTATGCAAACTCTCATGCAAACTCTCGCTTCTCAACTCTCATAAACTCTCATGCAAACTCTCGCTTCTCAACTCTCATCAACTCTCATGCAAACTCTCGCTTCTCAACTCTCATCAACTCTTTCTATGCAAACTCTCGCTTCTCAACTCTCATCAATTCTCATGCAAACTCTCGCTTCTCAACTCTCATCAACTCTTATGCAAACTCTCGCTTCTCAACTCTCATCAACTCTCATGCAGACTCGCTTCTCAACTTTCATCAACTCTCATGCAAACTCGCTTCTCAACTTCATCATCTCATGACTCTCGCTTCTCAACTTTCATCAACTCTCATGCAAACTCGCTTCTCAACTCTCATCAACTCTCATGCAAACTCGCTTCTCAACTCATGCAAACTCTATGCAAACTCTCT